TATATATATATATATATATATATATATATATATACATCCATAAGTGAGAAATAAAAAGTCTTCTTTTGTTTGTTTTTCGTTATGCTTAGAAAATAGTCCAAGAGGAGCTTATTATGTCTTAGTAAATATTCCTGTCGGGAAGTAAGTTTGCAAACTGATTAAAAGAAGAAGAAAAAAAAACATAAATCAACCAAATCTAATATAGACAGGCAGGAAAGTCACCCCCTTCCTGCAATCCCATAAACTCCTGTCATACAGCAAGTTAAAGCTATACAGTATATAAGGCCTGTAATCCTGTAGGGCCAAGCTTTTATAAAGAGACATATATGTAAATAATCTGTCTTTACACAGCAAGGGTTCAGGCAATTTATGCAGAAATGGATACTCCTCATGCAGAAATTTGATTGTCTAATTTTGGGAACAAATTTGCTTAATTGGGGTAGTTTGCAAGAAATATCACAAAGATGACAAAACAAAAATCACAGTGAATATAAATGCTCCAAACCTTTCTATCTTTCTTTTTTAAATAATACATGAATTCTGAATAAAACTTTCAATAATATAAAGGATTAAACTCATGCTCTACAACTGGGGATGCATTCCACATTTGCATGTGAGGGCAGTGGATCAACTAAGGTCGCAGAGAAAAAGGCGTCCCTTTATCTTTTCAGACGCATGCAAAAACACAACGAGAATAAAACGGGGGGGAAATAAGAAGGAGATAAAAAGCCATGTCGGACAAGGCTTCTGCTTCCTTCTTAGAGAGAGGGAGAGAAAGGGAGAGAGAAAGAGAGAGAGGCAGAGACGGAGGGAGCAGGACCCACACGGCGTGGTTCCAGCCAATTGCGTTCCAGAGAAGTGACCATGGCCAGTGATAAACAAAGCGCCATAGATCACTCCTCCTGCAGACGGAGCCCGGCACCGGAGGCGACGGAAGGCAGAGCGCTGGGTCAGACAGCGAGGAGAGAGGACGCGTCTGCCCCTCTGTTAAGACTCTCACCATTCAGTTTGATGCCCTTTTTTCCCACCACCGGAATGCCATGAAAGCCCGGCTGCAGATTGGCTCTCAGTGGCGAGAAGGAGCAAAGCGAAGCCACGGCGACAACACGTGAGGGAGTCGCGGAGCTGATGCACCATAAAGAGATAAATCCTTAAGAAAATAATCCAAATAAGTCTGATTCCCTTAAAAATAAAAAAGGGACTTTCAGCACTTACCCACTCCCAGGGACAGGACTCAGATTGAGTCTTCATTCGAGCCCAGTGTGCGTCACAGAAACATCAGATATTCCTCCAAAACAGATGCGCAAAGATGGAGCAGTGAGGTTCTCCCTCTTTTGTTTGTCAGCCTGCCTTGCTATTTTTTTTTTTCTCTGTTTGCATCAGCTGGCTCTTTACAGCTTTGAAGCAGGTGGATGACAAAAACATCAATCTCTCCAGGCACATTGTGTGGCACCATGCACGCCTTGACGCACTCCCCTCACCAGTTCCATACAGTATAATCACACATTGTATTCTCTGCTCACAGCTTCACCAATACACTCGGGTGCAAACAGAAAGTGAAGGACAAGTGTGCTATACTGTGGATTTTCTTTTGTTATGGTCAATTTTCTCCGGGTTAGAACAGATATTTGTTTATACTGAAAGTTAAACAAGCAGGTTAAAAGTAGACATTTGACTTAAAAGTCAGCATATAGGTCATCAAATTACTTTTAAAGGCACACCAGTTTACCTGCTTGTTAAAACAAGCAGGAAATCAGCCAATCATATGGCAGCAACTCATTGCATTTAGACACCTGGATGTCTTGGTGGCAAATTTATGGAAGTTTAAACTGAAAAATGTGAAAGAAAGGGGATCCATGAGAAAGGATGCATATTTTTTGGTTTCACAAAGACATTATTTTCCAAATTGACCTGCATGGAGTTTAATTTAAATCCTTTATTTTATTTTTTTAAAAGTGTCCTGTCTGGCGATGTGGCAATAAGAATAATTCTCTAGATGCCAAAAAGAGCCCAACAGATTTTACTTTCACAAGTGGAGCAGTACGGCTATCTCCATAGTGTTCCACTTCATTTATGCATATAAATTACTTTATTATAATTATGCGGGAGTTTTACGGATTATATGTACACTGCAATATAGGTAGAACAGGAAAGGGAAAACAAAAAAAGGAGAAAAGACGAAATAAAGAGGAGATAAAAGGGAGATGATAAAACATTTTTAGTCTGCTTCATCACCTGCAAAGAGATGTAAAAAGAACAGCACAACCAATGAACATGGTACGAGACATACAATAAAGTAACAAGGTGTTTCTTTACTTAAATCCATTATTAGATTAAATGTTTTGTATCAATCGCAGACGACAAAGTCAACAGCAGCTCAAATAATCTCATGATCTCCCTATTTATGCAAAAAAAAAAAAAGAACTTAGAACTCACAGTTGAACCTTAAAGCAGATGGACCCCCACACTCCTTCTGTCTGCTAAGAACAGGACGCTACAATTCATACATGTGCAAATACTAGAAAAGATAAGCATTACCTGGTCCAATCACTCTTTGTCTTTTGCACACAGTAAGCTGCTCTGCCTGGCATTAACAGTTAAGGTTGTTGGTATAGTTCAAAGTGTTTTAAGAGGAGTTTCTGCTAATTTATCAATGGACATTATAACCTTACTGTACTTGTAATAAAAAGATGCCACCTTACAGTGAGTGTCATGATTTTGGCACTGATGATTGGCTTTTTGGTTTAGTTCATCCACCTGTCTAGCTCCGCCCAGTTTTAATTGTCATCATTCAGATCCACCGGTTCCAGTTCCTATTTAAACTGCTTGGTCCCAACCATCAGTGCCAGATTATTGGAGCCTTAGATGAGAGTTCTTTAGCATACCCAGTGTGTTATTCTGATAGTCTGATCCTGATTATGTTCTTTTCCTGGACTTCTGAGCTTGCCTGCCCCAAATCTGATCTGTTTCGCCTACGCTGTCTTCGGACTTCCATTGGATTCTGCCTGCTAACGACCTTGGATCTGTCACCTGACCCCGGCTTTAATTTTCCTTTAGTACCTCTTCTCTGATCAACTGCCCTGTACGTCTGCTTCCTTATTGACACCGGCTTTGGATTCTCCTTCCAGATAGTCCTCCTCTTCCTTGTCTGCTGGCATCTGCTCATAGGTCTGCTCTGCAGCACCTTTGGCTTCTACTTCTGAACCTCTCTGGGTGGCTTCTGCTGCCTACTGTGGAAAACCATCCGTCTGGATTCCACTCCTTCCTCTGGTCCTGGACTGAACTTAAAAACCAAGTTCGTGACTCAAATGCTCGCTATCGTTCCTTGTCAAAGTTATGTGGTTACTAACCTGTGTTTGTCCCTCTACAGGGTTTCCAGTCACCTAGTACAGGCTAATGAGTCACTGATCCCTGAGCAGTTAATAAATGGTCTTTAGAAATCACTTTAGCCTATTTGCCTGAATTCTGGGTCCAACGTTCAGAGTCTTGACAGTGAGTTTGCTGAAAATAAATATTAATAACTGAAAAAGTAAAGCGTTAATCTAAGCTGTACTTTGTTTTAGCAGAATACAAAAGCGTAAACTGAAAATCTTAATATTAGTGGATACAATTTGCAAATTTGGATCATCAGCAATTTCATATTTAGCATTCTTTTTTTTTTCTCAGCGTCTCTTTTTAATGCTGAGGTACCTCATTTAGGCCTGCCCTTTTCTTAATAAAACCATTTGAAAATATATCATATAGAGATTTATATTTTATATTAGATTTGATTTCATGTAAATATAGATATATCTTTTAGATAAGTAAATAAATTCTCAGAAAAACGAAATCTAAATTCTACTTTTTCAGTTTTTAAAATAAATTGCTTTCTAGGACGGAAAGTATGGAAGCCTGTTCCCATCACTCAAAAGGAAAAAACCAAAAAACAATTATTTTATAAACATGACTTAACTATTTCATAATTATAGATATTGTCTCATTATTATGATATACTCTCATAATTGTGAAGCAGTATCTCATCAGGTAGTATCCCATGCTTTTGAGATGGCTAAAACAATATGAAAAAGTATCTCATTATCATGAGATAGTGTTTCATTATTTTGATAAACCCATAATTGCAAAAAGATAGCCAAGTCATAAAAATTAGATTTACACTTTTATATCATATTGGAGGAAATGGGCTTCCATAGGAAAATTATTTATGCATCATGACAGATATTTTCTAATAGCTTATAAAACTGATTATTTTTGTAGATTGTTGTAGATTTAACTATTTAATTAATGCCCTGCCATGCAAAAATGCAGGCTCAAAAATGATAAGAGGAAAAGTAAAAACTGACCCTCATCTTTGAATTAATTTGCAATATTCCCAAGGTGGTACTAGAAAGTAATAGTTTTATACTGAGATTTGCTGCCTACACCAAGGAGTAACAATTCGAAAGTTAACCAAAAGGCAGTATGGTGTTACATTATGCCAGGTGTAAGACATTTACTCCCAAAAGTTACTTATACTGTAATGTAGTTAATAGCTTCAGTGCCAGCTCCCTTTTAAAAAATATATTTCCTTTGCTGTTGTTTCCACATATTAGCGAACAAAAGCTTGAGTTTTTGAAATTCTTTTCTCATGCTTTGTAAGTCAGTGAGATGGTGAGTTAGTAGGTAGTGGTAAGGTGGGGGTGAAATTAAGCCTGGGGTGAGCTTTGAGTCCCTTCTTGTTTGCTCTGGAGATGGACATGTGGATACAGGAGATCAACCAAAAGTCTAAGTGGATTATAGATTCGGCTGATGACACTGTGATCCACAAGGAGAGGAAGAGCATGTGAAGGGGAGCTGGGACAGGTGAACCCATATGCTGCAGAGCATAGTAATGAAAGTCAGCTGGAGAAAAGCAAGAGAGAGAAAGAGAGAGTGAGAAAGGAAAAGACAAATCAGAGAGAGTGACTACAACTGAATGCAGGATAATGCACCATTATTGTAAAGATTGATTAGAATATGTTCACAAAATTAAAATCATCAATTTTACCACAAGATAAAACAAATTTAAAAATTTGTTGTCATTTTTTTTTAAAGATGTAACAGATCACTTTAAAACATTTTAATAATATCAGGTTGCCTCAGCCTAAAAAGGGGTATTTGGCATCTAAAGGCACTGGTTCTGTTGTCTGCCAGTATAGCTTGATGGTTAAATGTCTATTCCAGGTCAAATAGAGCATTCCCTGGGGTTGCTTAGAAATTTGGTGCTCACTGACAAACTCCCAGTTTAAATTCGCTATGGCTGCTGCTACATATATAAATTAAGTGAATCAACCAAAGGAATTTAATGAAAACTAGACCGTATTTGTCACAATAGACTTATACTCATGGTGACTGGTGTAAAGATAAATATAGACATCACTTTGGTATCACTTTGTCTGTGACAGTTCCTAAAGTTGTGTAGAATTATGCTGGTCTCATAATTACAACTTATTTAATTGAATATTTACATTTTTTTTCTGTTTTCACTGACAGCTTTTTCTCTATGGAAATGATCCACTGGTTAGTTCAGTCATTTCTTATATGCCACCTACTGCATGATTATGTGACTACAATAGAAATTATTGCAATTTTGTTTGTTTTTAATTGTAAACAGCCTGAATTAAGGTGATATTATAATTACCTTGATTTTTCTTGAGTTATTGGCTCCAGACTGGGTTTAGAATAAGAAAAGGGTTGTAATTTAGTTTTAAAGAAATTAAATAAATTGAAATTTCTAAAAAACCAAAAAATAATAAATTTTTGAACACACTGAAATTGTATGATTTGCTTGACTTTTTCAACTGTTTAACTAAAACACAGTGATAAATGTTTCTGCGGGTGTAAGGATCAAACGAACTGCAATAAATCAGCATGAATTTGAATGAATTTTCAATGGGTGGATATAATGCCTTCTATTATGAGGTAATTCTCAAAACTAATTTAACTGGAAATAACAGGTGCTGCAACAGGAAACAGTGCATTGCTTTCTTTAGCACAAAGAAATTCTAAATCATTACTATATGTACTGATATAAATGGTCCATACTAAAACAAAAACATTTTTTAGGAAATTCCGATATTTTTTTGAAGTCCGTAAAGGCAGCAGGGTGACGTCAACTGTTTTGCTTTTGGTAGCGGGAAGCGGAAACGTCTTTCTGTTCGGCCTTTCATGAGTGTGTACTTTTAACAGCACACAACAGATGAACCCATTTCGGTTCCAGAGTATATTAATGTATAAAGTTTCATTTTAACCCCAAAAAGGAAGAATTTGTGAACTTTGCGTGGAAGTCCTCGAAACCTTTTCTTCAACAGCTGAATGTTTCGACTGCAATGGAGAGGTTATTAATAAGAGACAACCCGCTGCTTTTACCTTTAAACAAGGAGAAAACGGTCTACGACGGATTTATAACCCTTCAGGTAGGGTTTATTCGTATGTATGTAGTTCCATCTCTTATGTTTAAAAGCGAATGCCCACACGCATAAAAAAAATCCTGTCAGTTTGCATACACTGATAGAAATAGGACGTTTTACAGTTCTGCAGGTTTCTCCTGTGTTGTTTACACCTGTTTTATTTATCTAATTAAGTCACTAAGCTGCAACCAGGAGGATTAGGGCCACTGAAGAAATAAAAAGGGTTAACTGATTTCTAAATTTTATTTCACTATATTCATGAGAAAAAAAGACAGAATTCTGGCTTTAATCTAAGAGTTCTGACTTAATTCTCAGAATTCAGTTTTTTTTTTTTTTTGCAATTCTGATTTAAATCTCAGAATTATTACTTTTTTTTCAGAATTCTGACTTAAATCTCAGAATTCTGACTTTAAACTCAGAATTCTCAGAACAAAATTGTGACTTTTTTCCCCATAATTCGGACTTTAATCTCAGAATTCTGACTTTTTTCTAAGAATTCTGACTGTTTTCTCACAATTCTGACTTAAATCTCAGAATTCTGACTTTAATCTCAGAATTCTGAATTTTTTTTTTTCAGAATTCTGAATTAAATCTCAGAATTCTGACTTAAATCTCAGAATTCTGACTTTAATATCACAATTCTGATTTTTTTGCAAAGGAGCTGCAGAGATGATCAGCTCAAGTAGGAGTATCTTTAAATGTCATAGTAAATGTTGGCCATGTATTCTATGGATATGTTATTTATGTACAGATAGAAAGCCTTAGCCTTCTTGCCTGCAGTTTGCTAAATATAATGCATTAGACCCCACCCGAACAAAAAAAAAACCACACACACAAAAAAAAAAAAACACGGTGTCACCCTGAACACATCATGCCAGCAACATGTCCTCAGAAGACCTTTCTTGAAAATGGAAGAGAAAATTGGTCAGAGGCAGTCCTGTACAAAACACCTGTTTGGATTGGGGCAGCAGTTCTGCAAATGTTTAGATCAACAAAGTCCAGACTTTAATACAGTTCCAAAACTGGAAAATCTATTCTTATAATGTTCACCCTACGAGCTTCCTGATGTGCATAGATTCCTAGAGCTTCCTGATGTGCATAGATTAGGAAACTCAGACATAAGGGGTTCAGTGAAAGGAAATCCTACCAAGGCTTTGGCCATGGGGTTTAACACAAATGCTGACTGCACTTTTCAGATTTTTTTCTATTGTAAAAAAAGAAATCATGTCTTTGTGTTCTTCTATTAAACAAAATCCCTATAAATTGTAGCAAGATTGAAAAATAAACAAAACGACTCTAAGATGTGTTATTACTTCTTTAAGGGAATGTGTGTTTTTCTCCAGGAAAGAGACTTCAGGATTAGAATTATTCTCCCTCCAGACCTCCAACTAAGGAAAGCCAGGTATGAATGACGTCACCTTCATTTGGTAATAACTGTATTAAAACCAAGCATGGATTCATATGCAGTGTTTCCTTTCTAAGTCTAACCAAAGACGACGTATTTGCTCCTAACTTTGTCTCTGCAGGCTGCACTGCTGCTGGCAGCTAAAACACCTGTTGCGTGAATATGAGCACATAGTGAAGCAGGTAAATGTGTAATCAGTTGCTCTTGGCATCACAGTATCAACTGAAACCTTGTGTCTGTCATCTCTGATTAATATTTTGTCATTTCCTTTGTATTTATCGCCATGTCATGTTGCCTTCTTTTTGCCCTTCTATTTTTTCCCCCCTCTGTGTAATTAACGTTGCCTGGAAAATGTCCGCATTTGTTACGTGGGTCCCTCAGGGTTATTTGGATGAGATTGATATTTCACCCTGGGCTGCAAAGTTCATTATTTTCCCAGCCTTTAAGCTATCATTAATTATTTAAGCAGGTGGCAGCACACATTAATCACAAACACAGTGTTTGATTTGAATGGCTGACTGAAGGAAAGAAAAAATAGATAGTGCCACTTCATTATACCTTCATTCAAGGATGTCTTTTACACAGAGGCTGCTGCAGTCGACCGATCTCAACAGTTTCATTCTGGAGTTGAAGACTATCCTGGTAAGGATGAGGATGACTTGTTTATAAAATCATCAGCAACAGATGCTCCCCTCTGACCTTGGAGGATCTTAATAATATTATTAAACATTCCTATGAGCATTCAATTGAGAAAGTAGTTGGATAAAACTGTCTTTATTGAAGTTTGGCCTTTGCAGAAATGATATTGTTGAATAGGTTTGAAGTGGTGTGATTTTCTCCTTTTACACGTGTGTTGCAGGAAGTGGCTCTAAGCCGATGTCCCGAGGGTCGCTCCATCCCGCCTCCTCGATATTATTCCCAGCTTATCTCAGAGATGGAGGCTCTTGGATGGGATAAGTGAGTATAGAAACATTATTAAAAGGACATTAGCACTGCAAAAAAAAAAAGCACACATCACTGCATGTTCCTTAAAAACATATATATTGCTTCAAGGTACTTTAAAGAAAAAAAGGCAACTTTAAACCAGTTTCATCCAGTCACACAGACATACTCCAGGTCAATAACATACATTGCTAAGTGATTAGTTATCAAACACAGCAGTCTTATTCAGTTTATTATTCAAATGACTTACATGTAGCCACAGTGGAAAGGGAACCCTCCCCCCTTAACGGGACCAACCTCATGAGCCACAACTGACTGAGGCTTTGAGGAGACAGAGCATGCAGATAAACACTGATCCAGGTGTACTTTCTTACCCCATTTACACTTGAAAAACTGTGCCGAAACCGGTCCGAGCTCAGTAACTGAGATAACTTATCGTGTGTAAATGGAAAGCAAACTGAACTGAACCGAGCTAGACACAACCGAACCGAGCTAACTCCAGACCAGTTCCAGAGGTGGGCTCGGCTCGGTTTTTCCCTGGCTCGGTTCTCTGATAACAAGAGTGCATGAGAAGAACGCTTCATCTCCGTCTAGCTGCACATCCCAATTCACACTCCATTTCAGTAGTTGGCGGTAATGCCCCTCCAGAAGTTGCTTGCCAACCAACACAAAACAGAAGAAGAAGAACAACATTAAACAACAATTGCAATCTTCTCCACGCAACATTTTGATTACCTTGGGCGTTTCTCAATATGCGTTCTTGAGCGTTCTCTTGTGCTTGTGTACTCGTGGCACGTCATCAGCCTCAGCCCGAGTACCGTTCCAATTCTCGAGAACGCCAGATCGAGAACGCATCAAATCCCCGGATGTTGTTCTCACCCCGCCCTCTTTATCGAGCATGCATCAGAGCAGACTTGTGCGTACTTCAGACTGACTGCTTCCCCAGAATGCCCCGCGGCCGCAGCTTGATTCGAGACAGCGCTCACAGTGTTAAGTTAAACATTCCCTTTTCTGCTGCTGTTGTTCTTCAAAAGTACGTTTTGAAATCGTTTGAGGCGATAACATTATACATTTAAGCCTCCCTGTGTGGCCTGTTTACAGAGTTAGTGCGAAATTAAAAAAAAAAGTCCGACGTTGAGCGGACCAGAGTGACCAGCAGACCTACGAGGGTAACCGCAGCCAGGGCTAAATTTACCCCGTCTGTAGTGCACTTCTCTCGGTCTAGTTATGTGTGAACTACCGCTCATTCTGATGGCGGTTTTTTGCGGTTCGGTAATTTTTTAAAATGTTTTTTAAGCTTTATAAATTAAAAATATTGTTTTCAAAATGTTTTGTGTAGGGGATAAATAGTTTTGACTGTTAAAGAAATGCTAAACAACGTTGCATGTGATGACGTCACGAGTACGCTTCTGCTCCAATACACATACGTGCTTGCGTGCTCGCGTTCTCCTCAAGTCCGATCTTCCAGCGTTCACGAGAACGCGAGTACGTACTCGCGTTCTCGTGAATTTAGAAACGCCCCTTGATTCCCTCCTTCTTCGTCTTCTTCTTGTGTTTTATGGCGGTTGGCAAACAACCTTCGGTTGGCAAACAACCTTCAATACTGGCAGTAATACCGCAGATCGTCACTAGGAGGCGAGGAATCGAGGAACCAAGATAGCGTGATGTGTAAACGGTCGTCAGAACCAAGCTCGGCCTGGTTAACTGATCCGAGCTCGGACCGGTCTCGGCATGGATCGGTTTTTCAAGGGTAGTGTAAATGGGGTATCTATGTTAATTAGAATAAAGGCTATGGAAACTGTTTTTAAACACTGTTCTGTGTTTGTAAAAAAAAAAAAAGGAAAGGGTTGTTTTTGGTTCCAGTCAAGTACAGTGATACCATGGTCTTTAAAGTATCAGGGCTTTTTGCTGCGGCATAGCCGTGTTCAGGGGCTGAATAATTTCATTATCTGGTAGCATAGGGAAGCATGAGGTGCTGTAACATTTGCAGCTGCCTTGACTTTGGACTCAGGGGCTGAAATGTAAATATATTGATGTAATTTTTGAAAACTTAGAAAGCACTTTAATAATCTATGTATTTTTTCTGTTTTGGTTTCATAACAAATATAAACCCAGGATATCCTGTAATTTTAATAAAAAAAAAATAATGTTTCTATCAACATAGTTTTATTGATAAAGCTGCTTTTAGCTGCATTATTTTACTTTACATTGATGTTCTGATGTACCTACAAGTTCTGATGTACCTACGGTACATAATGACCTATTGCTACTGTATTATAACAGGTTTAAGGTTTTATTGAGCTGTTCAGTTTCTAGAAAGAAGAAGAAGGAAAAAAAACATCTATTTAGAATAGCCTCAGGGTGTCTCAATAATTGCAATGTGTCCCAATAATCCCATACCCATTCAAAAACCGATTATCAAAAATATTTGAATAATTATAAACTTATCAATGTAATAACCAAACATTTTTCCACTTATATATCTGTGAAATATTACAATTAAAATCAGAGTCGCTCAGATCAACCGTCTCAAGTTCCACTGAATTACTTTGTTAATTTCTTCTGTAGAGAACTATTGTTTCTAACAGACTAAACTGAGTAATAGTGAAACAGTTTTTTTTTTCCATAATGAACAGCATGTTAACATGGTTCCATTTCCTACTTACATGGTCCCAGGACACCATGGACGTAATTTGTCTGTGGAATTGCTTGCTGATGGAGCATATACTGTTAAGTGATCCCAATATCAGCTCTTTGTTTTTCTCTCTTTTAAGAAACTGACTCTGTATCAACAATGGAGGGAAAAGTTACAAACACATTACTTCTTAAGTTTCTTGTTTATTCCCCAGAGGAAAGATCAAGTTGGTATGTAGGAAATCTCCACGAATTCACAGCTAAATAGAGCAATCTTTTTTTTCCCCTCACCCATAGCTTTCAGTAACATACCACTACATTAGCGAGAGGTTCTTAATGACTTCCTTATTTTTAGTTATTGAGTTACAGTTAAATCCAGGTCGCCTTTAATAAAGCTCAGCTCTCATGCGCTGACAGGCAAAGCTAACACTGTCGTCAGGAGAAAGCAGTTAGCAGGAAGATATGTGTTCTCCCTCAGCTCGGATTAATCCTTGACTACCACACTCATTTTCCACTTTCCTATTAATGACCACGACTGCAATTATGATATTAGCAAAATGCAAATGGTTCTAATTGAAGACTCTCAGGTCTTAATAGGGTATGGGGGGGTGAAGGTATGCTTAATGCTAGAAATGGGACTGACATCATTTTCTGTGCGGTGTTACGGTTAGAAAGCATTATACACAGCGGGCCTCAATCTCCAAAGCACTCGAGATTTGCTTAGCGTCTTAATTGGTATGTGCCGTGCTAATAGCCACTGGGGGTTTCAGCTGTAATTCTGTCTGCTGATTGGACCAGGTAAAGTGAGTCTTCTCTTCCCCCTTCACGTGTCTCTGTTTGGCATTTCATAGTGTGGTCATCTTGTTAGAAAAACCTGCAGTGAAAAATACATTAATTAATTGAAAATGGGGTCAAGTAGGTCAGCTTCTATCTCTTGGTTCCACCAAAAATGGGGCCCTGATGGCTTGTGGGCTCATTATTGGCACAGCTGGTGCTCTGTGTTGACAACCTGTTGGAGAACATGCAGAGCTTCATGTCCTCTGATTGCAGTGTTATCACTCGTCACACTGTGTTGGTGGTTTTTAGAGGCCCCCCAACAGCAAAGCTCTGCTGGCCCTGCTAGGCCCACCGCTGAGGGCTTCAGCTCACACTTCTATTGTTCATCTTTGTTTTTCTTACATTATTAGGCCAGCTAATAAATGACTCCCCCAAACCTGTAATATAGAAGTGATCACTAATAGGATTGGGAATTCCCATGCTACATTCTGTAAGTAATGAAGTTGTCCCGCGTACACACTAACTCTACAAACCCGACATATGAATCTTTATGCTGCGTGAACTAGTGTGTAGTTCTTGTGCACTATATTTCTACACACCGCAGCTCTCTCTTCCCATTCTGCATGTCTATTTTGTGATACGACATCACAGAATGATCTCACTTTTCATAAATCCCGTGGTTAACATGCACATGGTGCAATCATAGCATGGTGTAGATGTGCCTCACATTGCTGCAGAGTTGCAGATGAGATGGTGTCATCAGTCGTCCTCAGGAGAGGTCCGACTATCATGCTGATTCCATCAGGGCTAAGCGGGGTGGCAGCAAGCCCCTGGAATCTAGGCCGGGAGGCCCTGAAATGGAAAGATGGAAATGCATGTTTTTCATACAATTGTTTACTAAGGGGCATGAGATTTATTTTTTTATTTGTTTAAACTGTTCTTTTTTTAAAGGTGTAATTATTGATTGTGAAGGCAAAACACTGGCTCAAAATTATTTTGTGATTAGACATAAATAAAAGAAAAAAGAAAAAAGGAGGGAAAGGGAGCATCCTTAGAGGAGAACAGATCTACATTGAATGTGGAATGTAGTGCTGTATCAGCCTATAAGTTGACCTATAAGATGGGCAGGAGTTTTAATGCTGGTAGACACCAATTCAGCCCAAAAATGTGTTACGTTTAAGAGGTTTGACGTTAGTTTTTTTTTTTTATTATTGCATTTTTTAGAAAGTTATTATTCTTTACAGGTGTCCAAGTTTTAGCCATGTATCACTTCATCAGGTAGTCTATCATCTCCATGTTTCTATTTGCTTTGTGTAAGGCTAGGATGTGATTTAACATCAAAACACAGCCGTGCTTCAAGGTTTACATACCCACCCAATAAATATCTGTCTCGACATTCTTCATAAAACCTGAAGCTGAAAGCCTCAGAAAATTAGCAAACTAAGCTGAAATGCTGAGATTGTGGCAGAAAACAGATCAGTTTAAATGTGATCTTCCACCCTCTGTCAGGAGCGGACATCTTGGCCGCTTTTCATCTGAGGCTTGTTGATCGCTATAAAGGCATTTGGTCGAGGTTCTATGGGACATTTACCCTAAATTAGGTTTCTATGTATATATATGTGATCAAATGCAGCTGATTTGGTCTTATAGAATTAAATTCACAATAAGTTTGAGACATCCAAAGCATGATCGAACAATTGGACAAAGAATGGGTAGAAAGCTAAGATCCTAAATAACAAAGACTTCTCTCAAATGTATTGATGGTCTGCAATAAAATCCAACGGTGCACCTTTGTTTTTACAATTAGGGGACTTTCTTCAACCAAAGAAAAAAAAAAAGGTTTAATTAAATCATGTAAAAATTTTGACAACAATTTATGAAGGTACTGTAACTGTGGCTATTTGCTATGAAATACAGCTTTTGGCTCCTTTTGCCATTCTGCTGTTTTATTAATAATAATATTTACTTGGAAGTCATATGAAGAAGAAAAACTGCCATACTGTAATTGGCTCTGCTGCAGATTTTAGATTTGGCATTGGTTTCTTAAAAATCTGGCTGGCAAGCTCTTAAAATGTTCTCGTTTATGGTCGTTTTAGTCCCAACAAAATGTCCTGAACATGAAAGGAATGTCTCCTCACTAAGTTTTACAAAGAATAATACTTGCTGGTTTATACCTCCTAGCATCATTCTAACATTGTTAGAATATATCTTGAAGAACAATTTGCCTGTCGTTGACGCTGTCAGGATGAAGCTGTTTGCTTTCAAAGTGTTGATGTGGCTTTTGAGAACTGTTGCCCTTCTCTGTGGCTTTGAGTGCAAACGTGTGGGAGAACAGACAGTTTTTATGAGCTGTGCCCGAATGGCCAGCATCTCCCATCATTCCATCACTTCCCTAAGTGTGTGTCCGAACATTTATCTCTAGCTCCTCCTATAAATCTCGTTTCGATATACAGCTCTGTCATTTTCCTCACAGAGCCTCCACTATAATGTCCTGTAAATCTGGACAGCGGTTGTTTGGGACCTTTTTCTGAGATCAGGCCTCAGTAGAGCAGAGGTAGACTTCTGATTGGTTATAACTAGTTAAAACGATCCCTGTGCCATAAATCTAACAGCAGTGTTGGCGATTAGTCACACCAACTCAACATTTTGTCCTTAGCCCCTCAATAAATTATAATTAGCACATGAAAGAGAATCTGATTTATAGGGCGACTCAAATTTAAAGTCAGCCAGAGACGCATTATTTTCTGACAGTTTAAGTCCTCTTTTATAAATGCAACAGCCGCTGTGATGTAGTGTTAATTTGTTTCTTGGCAAAGTGCTGGTTCTAGTGGCCTATTCAATCATTGGCATTGCTGTCTGGAGAAGTATGGGATTTAATTTTTTTTTAGGTCTGGATAAAAGTGGAAAAATAGAAAGTCCTTACCAGGTTGGTTTCAGCTTTTTTTTTTTTTTTTTGCTTTTCTAAAACAAAATTGCCTTTCCTGTGATCAAAAATAACTTCATATGACTAAGCTTTTCTCTTTCATGCTTTTTCACCACAATTACCTGGCCTCACCTCGCAAGCTGGGCCGCTGTCTTTTAAAATCCACCTCAATTGTGGGGTATCTGGGGCAGAGAAGGTATAATTCTGCTCTGTTCCTCCTCAGGATGCTTTTCATTGACATGGACTTCCAAACACTGAAACTGGGTGCTGAGGACTCCTCTGGCAGGCAGCACGTTCTCACTGTTAAACTCAAAGCAAAGGTGAGCCACTAAATGCAACAATCACAGGAACTTTACAGCAACTTGATCACAGTCGCTCCATGAATTGTTCATCATCCAGTGAAATACTGCATGGTGACCTGTGGTGAGTTCAAATCACAACAGGCCAACGTCTCCAAAACTGCGTACAGAGAAACATTCATTTAGATGATGGCAAATCTGTGATTTACATCTGTGGCGCTAAATGTAGGTCAGACTGGAAAGGATGTGGAGAGAGATGATGACCTGCTGTGACTGAGATGTAGCTCAGATAATGTATCTCTTTACTAACCTCAGCAGGATGATAGAACCTTCCTGTGTGCACAGAGAAAACCAATAAATTTACAATAATCTGCATAGCTGCTGCTGCTAGTCATCGCTTTCATTTCCCATTTAAAGTATTTTATTTACTTTGATTTTGTTGGCTCAAAAGTCAAATGTCCGTCCCTGACCAGGTCACCGGTTGCTGTTTTGATGCATGACTTATGCCAAGCTACAGAAGGAAAATCTTTGGCTTTTTCCATTATCTTAAACCTCAGCCACTGAAAATATGCAGCCTTTATGAGCCTTAGCAGCTGGGAAAATCCATCCAACAGACCATATATGTTATTGGCATTTAGTATTTCTGTACGTTGCGCTTGGAATATAATAAACTATTAAATGTTGCATCCAAACACCCCTTTTCAGTTAAAAATTTTAGATATTTATAGTTGTGATGACTATTGTGGTTTGAGATGTTGAGTATCTCTGAAAGAGACATAAATACTTTGTGTTAGTGGCTTTTCTTTAGAAAAAATCAGCTGATTTAGATTCTAAATTGACTATTTAATCACTCTTTTTTTCTCAGGGATTAAACGTTTTAAATTCAAAAGGTTCCCTTGTTTTTTATTACTTAATGATACAATATTAGATTTCCTTACAGCTGCTGTGAATTGTTCTTTGACTAGGTTAAAAACTTGATTTTAAAAAATTTACAGCTCCTTATTTCATGCATTTAAGCTTACAAAAAAATCTTTCAGGACTTTGAAATAAAGTTTATTTAAAACAAAGATAAAGAAATGCTTTTAAAAAGTTTTCTTTCATCATTGCTCAAAGTCTGGTGTAGGGGCAATGGAAGAAGTTTAGAATGGGCTGCAAAGTGAACATGGTGAGATGGTGCTTACCTAAGCTGGGATGACGTCCACTGGGGATAACTAGGGACTGTGAGACCCCACATTGTGCCCACCTGCCCACCTGGCCCTCCCCAGCCCTCTGGCATCTCCTGGCCTCCAGCTGCCTCCCCCAAATCCAGCGCCAGGTCATTCCTCACCAGACACAGCTTTGGAAGAAGGAATACTGGCATGGAAACATGGAAGCTTGGATGGCTAGGGAGTGAGGGAGGACTGGGAAAGGACAAAGAGTTTTGTGATCCTGAAGGTGAACAGAGAAAAACGGTTACCTCATGTTTACACACCTAAAGTTTTTAATAAACTTCTGCAGTGGTTTTACCTTCTATAACTTTAATGAAGTATAAACGACTGATGTATTCCTAAACAATTTTAAGGAAAGTAGGAAATAGCATTTGACAAATGCCACATATGCTACTAAATTTTGCTGTACATAAAATATTGGAGTGGAGTTGTGCATAGAGCCCATTGTTGTAGTCTGTGATTATTTATACAGCAGTGACTGAGCTGTATAAAGAGTATCTAGGAGCAGAGCCTTCTTCCTTTGAGTTAACAACTTGAATAGACAAAGATTTTCCTTGTGGTTAATGATTAATAACTTCCTTATATACCAATATATATATGCACACTGACTGACCTACTGCCTGAAGACAAATGTCCAGCTTTCCATTTATTTATTTTATGATTATTTGATATGCACATCACATATACATTGGAAAACCACATGTACCGCTTAGGTGTGTTAGCACAAGTGCTAGTTTTCAACACCAGTCCATAGGGAGCTTTGAGAACAAAGTTACCAGTAAACCATTACACAATAAGATTTAAAAAAAATATTTAATAATTTTCAAATTACAAGAGCAGTGGATTAAAGAAGACATTTATACATTAATATTGACAGGCTTGAGTTGAGGGTCTTATTGAGACGTCTGACAAGAAGAGAAGAAAACTGGCAACACTTGATCGTTCACACATTTAAAAGTTAATTTAACAGAACTAAAATGTATGAAGGTTTTGAAAGTAAAACGCTTTGGCTTCTGTATTATGTCACAATGATAACAACTTATAGGTTTCTTGTCCAAGACCTTAGCCGACTTATTAGAATGAGAAAACATTGGATTCAGTGTGTGATAGATGAGAAACGATCATAACATATTTAAAACGAGGTTGAAGGATAACGCAACTTTCTGATACAATGGAAACGGTTCAGATTAGATTGAACCTTTTTGCGTATTTATTTTTTACTTGACTTTGACGTTTTAAATGTTGATAAAACACAATACCAGATATTTGGTGTTGTTTCCTGATGTAACTATTTGAAAGTTAAAATTATCCAGAAAGGTATTATCTGACCTCATTTGCTTTGAGAAAGAAAAATATATTGAAAGAATATTCATATTATATAATGTAGGGAAACAGTCTGATTAATTGTGATTAATCGATTATTGAAATAACCGTCAACTAAAGTAAACGATTAATCATTAACTGGAGTATAGAGACTCTTAAATATGCTTTTAGCTGTCAGAGCAACCCAATTAGAGCAGTAATATCAAAATAGTAAACAATATAAGAACATTTTACATTTAAATTTTTAGTTTCACCTGGTTTAATTTCGTAAAAAATTTTCTTTAAGGAAACTTTTGCTATCCAATTATTAATCGAAAAAAGAATCTACAGATTAAAAAATTTGCAAAATAGTCGTTAGTTGCAGCCCTAATTTAATGTCAAATGTGAATATATAAGCGGATTGGAGATGTGGACTCAGACGTTTGTTATTTTGCCCTGCAAGGCTGTTTTTTTCTGATACATAAATAACTGTCATCAGCATATAGCTGACAGTTGACACGCTGATAGCAAACCAGCAGGTCATTTATATACATTGAATAACAAAGGACCTAATATTGAACCCTGAGGCACCCCCATGTCATTAGGACAGAGCTCAGATTAAACTGCGCCGACCTTAACACACTGCTGCCTTCCTTCTAAATGAGACTAAACCATATAATGGCTGCAGCCGACATCTTAAATTGCTGTAATTTTGATATTAATATGCGATGATCAACTGTATTAAATAATTGTCTTAAAAATACTGCACAAAAAATACGGCCTTTGTCCAGTGAGGTTTTTAGCTTGTTTAGCAGTTAGTTGTTTCTGTGTTGTACTGTTGTTTGAAGCTAAGCTACTGAGGATAAACTTTGTATCTACAGGGAGGATGGATCTAGGCCTGTAGCTACCTGCTAGGTCATTGTCACATCATTTGTCGTTATATCAGCAGTTTTCCAGCTCTGTTGGAATGTGTTTGTCTGTATTAAGGAGTTCACCAAGGGAGTAACAAGATCTAATAAGTTACTCACATGTTGCCAGTTGAGAATTATGGCCTCAGACTTTGCTGAGTTTCTTCTCATTCGAGCCGCTTTTGCTGCAAACTGCATCAGTGTGCCCTAAAGGTCCTGACTCTTGAGTGGAACGATGCTTGGTCAGGGGGTGTCCTTTGCTTTCACGGAATAATGATAAACTTTAATATGCAGTGTTTGGCTAAAAGATAATCAGATTTTAGAAATGCTTTGCTAAAACGAAGTTTGGATGTTTCATAACAGATTTCATAACAGAGTCTCTTTACTACATCCACAGCATCCAACAGAGGCTCCTGACTGTTCAGCTGACCTCCCGATCCCTTTGGCCATCACCTGGACACCTCAGGTACGCACATACACAGATCTCCTCAAAGCTTGCAAAATTAATAAAAGCATAAATATGTTAAATGACATGACTTTGTTTACCATATATTACGAATCAAATGATTTTACATCTTGAGGCAGACAACACAAAGCTGTACATAACAATGTCACCAGGTGACTTTGAACCCATTTAACTGCTAGGTTAATGCATAGAGAAATCAGCGCTCCTTTGGATGTGCCAAAATTTTGCTCAGCTAAGCCAAAACAAAAGTGATCAACAAAGTCTTTGGATCAATGGAAGAGCGCTTCAAAGTTAGCACATGGTTTCAGTTAATATAACTAACTGGCTTAAAATCTGGGTGTCATGATGGATTTCTATCACCTTAAGAGCATTTCTAGGATTAAAGGACTAATGATCAAGCAGGATCCAGAAAAAGGAATTCATGCATTGATCTTTAGTAGAATTGATTACTGCAGAGGTGTCCTCACATGCCTGCCCAAAAGGCAGATCAGACAGCTGCTGGTGATCTAGAACGCTGCTCCCTGCGTCCTCACTAAAACTAAGAAAGTAGAGCACATCTCCCCAGTTCTAATATCCTTCCTCTGACTCCCCGTAATTCAGAGAGTAGACTTTAAAATGCTTCTTGCTTTATAAATCAGTGGATGTCTTAGCACCAAATTAAATTATAGATTTGTTGTCAGTCTACACCTGTCAGGTCTTCTGGCTCAGATCTGTTCTGCAAACCCAGAACCAAACATGAAGAGCAGCTTTTAGTTATTATGCTCCACTAATGTGGAACAAAGTCCCAGAAAACCCTAAAACGTAGCTGCTTGAGCTGGGTTTTGTTGCTTTTTACTGTACTATTTGAAGATTATTATAATTTCAGTTTTTAGTCCAACTCTTCTTCTTTAATTTATCATTAATTGTTTGATTACTCATTTTCTTCTATTCATTATTTTAATTATTCAATTATATTCTCTTTAATTATTCATAGTTATTCATTATTTAAATAACTTTATGCCACTGAAATAAATAAACCTGCGTTAACTAGTCCACTGCTGCGCAGATGCCAATAGGGTGTGATGGTGAAAAGGCTGTAGTCTAAGCCGAGCAAGGCCAGTTGTCCTCCTACTTCCTCAGCCGATTTCATATGCTGCCACTGGGATAATAACCCACCACGATGATTTAACAAATCACTGCTAGATCATAACAGTTAAAGATCTCTGCCATTTTTAAATGCATCAGTCCAGTGAATGGTGTTCGCTGTTAAAATAGGGCCTCACTCTGGAACAGAGTGGACTTAAAATGTTTTTAGATCAACTTATTGCCTCAATAATAATGTTTTTGTGTGTCTTTCCCCACCAGACTATTAAAATGTTATCTGATTCTCTCAAACCCAATATCTTTTATTATCTCATTTCATGAACTGAATGTATTTGTACACCCCTGTAGTTTTCTGAGCCATGTATCGAGCCCTTTTGTGCGAGGAAACTGAAGAGCTCCCGAAAAATCCTTGAATCATTCTGAGTCATAATGTGACGATACGCGCCTCCACCTGCTAGATTAACGCTTTTTCTTTCAGCCCTTCAAATTAAGTCGGCTATAATTGCTGTAAAGGTGCTTTGATGTAGAACCAGCTGTGGGCTCTTTGTATCCCTGTGCTTCCTCGTTATTGTGGTTTGTCGTCTTCCTTCTTTCATCTCTGTCGCTGCCTCCGACTCGGTGTCAGTCTTACTCTCAGACACTATATCGGAGCACTGGACTGGACTGTTCTTTCTGGCGTGTAATAAAGTCCAAAACCTGATTGCAGAGTGAGGAGTGCAGAGCTGAGCTGAAATATGTCATAGACGCTGTTAAAAGAAGCCAGGGAGGCAGAGAGTTGGTGGTTTTTAGGGAAGAGACGCTTGATGTGTGTGTGGGGGTGTGTTAGCTGATACATGGCAGGCGTACAGTGAGGACCAGCTTAGAACAGCGCTACCGTATGGAGCCTGTCTGCCTGCTGGGCCGTTGATGGATCTCTCCCACTCGGCGACATGAAGCGTGTGTGAGTGTGTTTGTGTGTATACATCTATGCGAGTGTGCATGGTTTTAACTGTGCCAAGAGTGTGTTGTGTGTGCGGACTTGTGTGCAGGGGGAAGGGCCTGTCTGTCGGCAGCCCTGACATGTTCATTTGAATGAGTAATTATTGCCTGCTCTGTTACAGGGCCAAGATGTGCCACTCAGTGCATTTGTATGGAACAAGATGTGGAAGGGAAATAAACCTGTGTGTGTGTGTTCATGTCCTTTATCCTTGCAGGTTCTACAGTTTGTCAACCACCAGAAACTGCATATGTGTAGATAAAGATGGCGTATAAACAATTATGCATTAAAGATTCATCTGCAGGATTCCAGTTTAAAAATCTGGAATGGTACCAAATTTGACTTAAGGGCTTAAGCAGGTCTGGATCAGAGCAGGAAAAATCTAGAAAATGATTTGCAGCTCTGTGTTTGATTCCCTGTCCTGCCTTATCCATCAGTTTCCAAACAGCCATCCATCCACCATCAGTAATCTGTCCATGCATTCATCCATGCTTTCATCCATCTGTATTTTAGTCAGTTCATCCATCCACACCTGTTTTATCTGTCCATTCATTTTTTTCACACCCATACATACAAAAAACTTGATGCTCAAAACTGCAGTGTGTTAAAACATTGATCGCTCTAAACTCTTGACATTCTCCCCAAAGTCTAAAAACATCACTAAAATGCTTACCTAAATTAAATTAGAACCATTTGGAGATGAAACACTTAGAAATTATATTCTTTTTCACTTGGAATTTATTTTTATTGTCATTGTATATGGACAGCAAATAATATATGAACAAATGGTCCTATAGATATAATTTAGTATTTTTGAATCATTTGGACAGTTTTCTTTGAGTATGTTTTGGGGTTTTCTCAATCAAATAGAATAGAATTAAATAGAATACCATTTTAATCTCATTCTAAGAAATACAACAAAATACAAAAAATGCCTCCTTAAAAAATGCATCACTGCCAACATAAAGCAGCAAGGATAAAACCAAAAAAAAGCAGACAACTATTCCTTACATTGTGATATTGCTCTAATCCATTTAGACATATTGCAAATTGGATGGGTTTTTTTCCCCAATAGAAGCTCTTCTTGAAAGGGTTGATTCTATTTTTTAAAGCTCTGTTGCTTTTCCCCGATGCTAACAAGTTAAACAGAGCGCGACCTGGATGTGATGTCCTTGATGATGTCATGCACTTTTTGAGGCAGTGGAAACTGTGTAGGTCTTGCAGAGTTTGGAGAGGGCAGCTGATCATCTTTTTAGCAGTTCGAATGAACCTCCGATGCAGAAGGTCCTTTAATGCACACTCACAGGAAGGTGATGGTCAACTTTTATACATTTTTGTATCTTTACCATTGATGCAATTTGGTCCAGGGAAACCATGGATGGATGAATGAAATATATTAAAGGGATTGTCCATCGATAGAAATTAAGCTGAGAATCATTTTTGTGAGGCAGAATAATTAAAATAGTTATTAAAATAAATAAATCTTGACTTTCTGATGTCAAAATGATGACATGATAATTTTTTGGCCTGCTAGTGGGTCACTGAAGCTTTGTAAGTTTTAGGACCCCACTTTATATGATCCATACCATCCACTCATGTACAACTAAACATGCGGTTATAGGAAAGTTTCTCCTTTTCTCTTGATTTGAATACTTTTATGCTTCTTCTGTGATCTTGTTTCCACTGCAAAAGCAAATAAGAAATTAACAGAATTTCAGATGCAAATGAGGAAATTGAGTCAAATATCAGGAACAAGCTGAAAATAACACAGTTATGAATGTTAATGGGTTTTGTGTCAAAATTATAAAATGCAATAACTGATATTCATGTTTCCTAGCTTCTCAGTACATAAGATAATGAAAGTTTCTCTAAAAAAATGTGCTTCTTAGGTTATTGCTGAGAAGATGAATAGCTGAAAAGGGTTAAAAGCAGAGAAACGTAACAGCATCTTCAGCATTTCTGCTCTCAGAGCTGAATAGAGGTCAGGGAGAGACATCATGGATAGATAAAGAGAACTGATTGAGACAGCCAAAGAGCAGCGCTCAGCTCAGACTCAGCTCCTTTTATCCTCTGCTGCAGCCTTCAGCTCTCAGGTTCTTCTCTGATCGAGCAGGAATTTAAGTAACAGCTGAACCGGGCCTCGAGTAGTTATCGTGGGCTCTAACTGTAATCATGGCGCTGGCATTAATTGGGCTGTAATTGCTGAGGCTCTCAGCACCTGGACGAAGCTTAATTGTGTGCACTGTGCTGGCACAATGACCCATAATTTTTGGTTCATTTTTTTCCCCTCATTTTTTTTCGCTCTCATTCCATCTGCATTGCTCTCCTGCACCTCTATCAGCGTCTCTTTCAGTGCTTGTGTTTATATGTGCACGCTTAATGCAGCTTGAGTTGCTGCTGTTTTTAACCGACTGGTTTTAACCGCTCTTATTTCTTTTTTCCTCTCAATCAAAAATGTCACGGCAGAAACTGTTTGCCCCAACATGCTCCTCAGTGTTTAACTTTGACTAAATCTTATGTACATGTTTAGTGAAGTGTGTCTGTTTTAGCTTTGAAATATGTGTACCTGAGCTGTAGATATTTTTAGTTGTTTCAGTAGAATGCAGCACTTTGTCCCTGATCCATGCTGTTTGTGTTTTTTTTAAGAGTACTCTAGAGCAGCTCCACAGCCAGTTCCTGCTGGTTCTGGAGTCCCTGACAGACTTCTGGGACGTCCTGGATGAGATCGACAGAAAGACCTGGGTTCTAGAGCCAGAAAAACCCAGCCGTTTCGACACAATGAGACGGATTGCCATAGGTTAGTGAAACACTTCCATTTTCCTGCAGCTAATCTAGGCAAATTACAACATGATTATTGTAGTAAAGAAAGAACTGACATAAAAAACATAATTTGAAAGATAGCTGCCATTATTCTCTTCACTTTCCTAGTGACACATTTACCTCTATACAGATCTAGGCTACTTTAAATCACTGTAATTTCCATAAACCGACCATTCTCACTGTTTATTGAAAACCAGAGTCACAGCCTTTCCATTAAGTTATTTTTATTTTCAGGTCAGTTCTTGACCTTCCTGAAAAGTTTAACATTTTACTCAGAAAAGGAGATTTTATTCATGTAGATGTTGCCTCAAGGCTCCTGCCTAGCCTGGATAAGTCTAAATTTAACTTCATTATCTTTTTCAGGGCTGAATAAGTATTAAAAATAACGTTATTTTAAGAGTTCAATTTCTAATCTATTCTCTAATTGTTGTTTTTACTTTTTACCCTCTGTTCTTACATTCTGATTTTCTTTTCTTCCCTAATCCTTTCTTTTTCACTCACACCATTTCCTGTGACCATATTCTTCTCTTTATTCGTTTGGCTTTACGTTTTGGCTCCTAAGATTCATTTTTTACTCCCTTCCATTTCAATCTCTGTGTTGAATTATTTCATGTAATGCATTGAGCACAACAACTGACCAACATGTTTCAAAATTACACTAATAAGCAACAATAATAAAGCAAATAAATTGAAATAAAACACAGGGATTACGATTTCTTAAAACTATTTCAAGTATCATAGTCAGTCAAAGGCTAAAAAAGACTTTTTAATATTTTTTAAATAATTGTGCTTTGAGCAGAACAGACATTAAGGTATTCCACACTCTGTAGGTGCCACAGCGAACTCTTAACCACCTTATTTTTGACTTGCGTTTCAAAGCATCAGAGAGAAAACTGGCTGGTTTGGCTCAGTTCTATTTAAAGTTTGTGCAGGTTTTACTACATCAGGTAGCTAGGCTGGCAATAGAACATTTCACACTTTAGAATAGTACAATATTAAAATCACTGTAAGGACACAGGGAGCCAAGGAGGAAACATTTGGTCTGCAGTTAACTGTTCATGCTTTGTTGCACTAGTTAAAAGATGATCCTGAATTATTCGTTAGCTTCATGGATGATTAATCTGGCCCATTTTTTAGAGTTTTACAGTAGTTCAGGCTAGATGATTTTGCCAGAAATCAAAATTGCAATTAATTGACAAATATTACAAGTTTATTTTGAATTTCTTTGCACTTACTACATGTGTGTAGATGTTTCACTAGACTCCATTGTTGCAGGACTTTACTGTAACCTTTTTGTGAAAAAGTTCTTACTTCTATTTGCATGCATTGATCTGTGAGCTAGCTAAAAAATCTTTAATGTGGTATTACTGCCACCTAAAGGACTGGAGTTAGATCATTTGGTCTCTTTCTTCTGTTAAATGTAACGTGACCATAATTGAGTGCCTCTGTGATTTGAACATTTCGATTTTATTGCAAATGGAATTAATTACTTAGCCCTAGTTTAGATTAGAAAATAAAGCTTTTATAAGCTTCTTAAGATTCCTAAAAATGGGATGAGGCTTTATTTTGACACTGAGTTTTTGGAAAATCTTTTGGTTGAAATTAAAAAGACATCTTTCTGAGAGTATGAAAATATTAAAAGGTTAGGTTGTTATTCTGAAAGTCTGTGGACAGGATGTTGCCTTTTTAACCCCACATCTTAAGGGGGGGTCATCTCACTGATGCCTGTAAACATCAGACCATGTCTGTGTCCAGGGAATAACGTCTCCATCAAGGTGGAGGTGGATCCGAGGCACCCGAAGATGCTACCAGAGTGCTGCCTGCTGGGAGCAGATCATGGTGGGTTGGAATCCACAGACAGTAACACTGTGCTTTTACCACATTACGCTCCAACAGCTGACACAGTATATTAAAGCATGAAGCGATATCTCATTAGGATTCAGTTTTTAGGGAACTGCTGCTGCCTCAGGGTCATGTGCATGCCCAACATCACAGGAACATCTATGCCTTGGAGACTAAACTCAGGCTTCAATTACATCGATGTTTAATAACACTACTGTCTCCAGATGAGTGTTTTTCTAAAGCTCAAAGTCATTATAATTTAACAACAAAAAAAAGTCTGGATTTATGAAAACAAAGGGATAACATATTTCCCACCAGTCCTAAGTCTTAAGTTCGCCTTTTCAAAATTGTAAATAATGAAATTTGAGCATGTAGCTTTGAAATAATACATAACACCATTTTTTTTTTTTTTCTTTTAAGAGGCGGCCCATGAAAATAAGCAAAACCAGTAATAAAAAAAGACCATTGGCCAGTTACTGTATTACCTAAACCTCAAAAGTATCAGATCTTGGGTTAGTTTCCAGATGTTATTCTTTTGGTTTTGCAGATTATGAGTTTATTAAAAAAAAACACAACCACAAAAATCAACGTATCTAGTTCTGGGTTTGATTTTAAGGGTCCATTAAAGGATCTCTGAGAAATGGTATCCCATATTGCCTTCTGCTATTTATCAATATATGACTGTGATTCTGATTTGGCTGGTCAGTGTGCCTAAAAAAGTGCTGCACAAATTCATTCCATTTACTGTTAATGTTGCAAACAATTGTTTCCATTTTTATATCACCAATATAACTAGTTTTGTGATTTAAATTTCTAAATTAACAATTATAATCTACGGTTTGATTAAAAACTGCAATGTAAAGTATTTTACTATCTAAACGACTGGTTGCAGTAAAACAGAGATGCCTCCATATTTTTTCGGAAAACAGGTTCTATGGCTAAAACTGCAGCCGTAATGCTTGGACTATTAAGTAAAAAAAAAAACAATAGTCACTGTAATTATTGTTAGTATTAAGCCACAATAATGTGTTAGGTTTATTCTTTTATACATCATGTGCATTGTTATTTTATTAGCCAGATTAGAGAGAGTAGAGGGCCTTCCTTCACATTGTGGATGTCACTGTGTGTAAGGAGGTCATTAAAATAGGACAGCCTTCTTGTCTTTTAAAGATACACAGGATATGGGCACATCTTGGAGCCGGACTGATAGAGGAGAGCTATCTGTAATCCTTGGGCATGGATGGCGTTTCAGTTTCTGATACGGACAGTTCAGCATCCACCTGATCCAACACATACTGTAAACTCATGAGGTATAAGAAGGAGAAGATGACCTTGTTCGGGGCTCAATCTTTGCCGGACGCTCGCTGACGTTTTTTGAGCCCACAGCTGTGCAAGCTCCAAGCATTTTTCTCTGTCCTGTAACGACCTGATCTGGAGTAAACTGTTACGTTTTTACTCCTGTTTTTATAGTCCTTTTTTTTTACATGGTTTCACCCAGTTTGAGTTAAGAGTAGTAAATAACTTGCTCCCAGGAAAGAACCGGAAGGGAAGTCCCGAGGCGCAACTGGCTTCAAGGGGACATAGCTTCCACATTTAACAAATGTAACTTAATAGGTTATTGAGTTTAGAAGCACATGTCGTCCTTTGCTCTTCAGAGAAAAGCAAAAATAAAGGAATACTTTTGATTCTCTTCAAATTTTTCCTAAACACTTTGTTGCAGATTTATGCTTTGTCACTCACCATTATCCACCTGTAGTTTTCTGACAATCAAAGGTCCAAGACATAATCGTGTGACAATAAAAGTTTTCCAGATTTTGAATCCAAATCTGACAGGTTGAATAGTAACATCTGGTTAAAAAAAAAAAATAAAATAAATAAATAAATATATATATATATATATATATATATATATATATATTAAGAAATAAACTTGGATAAAATAAACTGGATGTCACCATGTTGACTTCACTCTATTTTCCTTTTTAAAAATATAAATTACTTCAGTTTAATAGAATAAATAGACTGATCAAACTAAAGAAAGCCTCTCATGCTGAACCATTACTCATTAGAGATGATCTTAAAAAAGAAATTTCCATTTTTATTAACTAGCATTTCTTGTGTAAAACCCCACAGTACATTAAAGAAAACACAGAAAGATCCTCCTTCTCATGGCTACCTGTCTTCAGACAGACTTCTTGTCGGTTGTTGTGTGCCGCCATGTCATTTTCACAACAAGCCGACCAGCCATGCTTTGAGCTTCAGCTTTCTAGTTAAGTCTGTGTCAATTGTCGACCATTGTTTCTGTAAACCCAAGGTCATGTAACTCCTCGCCTGTTGCCTAGCAATGCAACACAAAAGATATTAAATGCACGCACGCTTCAGACACCAAGACAAGAGGCGACCCTCAAATACGGAAGGTCACGCAGAAATATTGCTTTTTGCATGTAGGAAAAACAAATATGAAAGTGATGAGGGGCGCATGGAGACGGAGCTCCCTGAGGAGCGAAGGTTCACATGTGACAGTGGTGGCTCCATCAGAGGGAGTGCAGAGGGCCTCTCTTTTGAGACAGACTCATTTTTTTCCCCCCCTCGGGGGTTACGGACAATCCTGGAGGATCTGCAGGTGCTTTGCATTTGGGATGACAAAGTTCGACTTAAATCTAAGGCTGTTACTGTCATCCGAATTCACACCCAGAACCAAGTCCCACCTTTTGTCCTGTTGTTGCAGTGGTGACGCCGCTGAGGAACAAACTGAACGCCAACATGCACATGTGGTGAGTTTTGCAAATCGTCACCTAAGCCAGCTTTTGTTCTCCAGGTCATCCATTCAGATATTCTTTTCACACTTTACTTTCTATTCATACATGCTGATGATTACATGTGAAACTATAGCAATGTATTAAGAACTAGTATATTATGAAAAACATCAGTGTAAAGGCCGTAGTCCGGCTGCCTTTACTGTTCCTCCTTTTTTTCCCTTTTTGCCCTTTAAATTCAATGTTTGTTTTTCTGATTTATTTAGATTGTTTAATCTGTTTCAACTGGTTTATTGCAATAATTTGTCTTATTCTGCTGTGAAAAAACATTTAAAGGTGGCAGACTGACAGGATATAAACTCACTGACCATAAAGTAAAGCTCAGTTGTTTCCTGAACATGAGAAAGTAGGGCTTCCAACTGGTAATAGCAAGGTGTACCTAATAAAGTGACCTGTGAGCCAGTAACATTTCTATGTCAGAGACCTGTTTGCTTTAGAAAGTCAAAGTAACCTTCAGCTTTACATCCTTAATTTACAGCTGGACAGGTTTAACTAGGGGAGCAGAATTCATGGTTCCATCAGTTTTATGTCTTCCAGGTCGTTTATCAACTAAGCATGTATTTGATGCACATTAAATAAATGTTTAACACTTATTTTGTACTCTATAATCAATTTTGTTATCATCTTCTAAATCTGTTATTTAAAAATAGGATTAGTATAATAAAGTATCAAATTAAGTAATGAAGATATTTCTTATATATGTTACATATATCATCACATATCTGCTTTTAAATGCATTTCATCATAATGTGATCTTAATGGAATAGTACACCCAAAAAATGATTAGCCTTCATTTTCTACTCACCCCCATGCTGAACAACACTCTGGAGTACTTTTTTGATATCTCAAATGCATCTGGAGATCTGGGAGGCTTTTTTTGTTTTTTTAAGTGTAGATATTTATAAAAAAAAAAACATGGAAAAGTTAGAATTTTTCAGCAAAAATCTGAATTTCTTAGCCAGAAGCCCTTTTTTTTCTACTTTTTTAATCATGGTTCTTGTTAACAGTTAATCACGTTCACTCTAAAATCCAAATATCTCAGAAAAAGCCTTAAGACCTCAATTGGACCCAAGACTTTGAGGTTGAAAGCTGAGATGAAAATAATGTTTTTTAATAAAACTGATAACCAGAGAGGGTTAGAAATGTATGGTAGTAAATCAGTGACAACCAGGAGTTAAAATATGGTAAAACCCAACAAGGTAAATGTTGTGGAATTGTTGGAAAGTAAAACTGTTTAATTTTGCACAAGGCAATAGATTCATTTTGTTGAGATTTATTAAAATCAAATGTTTAATATATATATATTTTAATCTACTGAGAGGCTGGTTGAAACATTGGGCCAAATCTGTATTTTAAGGGATGTGTAGCTCCTCAGCAGTCATCCCATAATTATTAAAGCGGGCACGAGTTCAGCTACTTGGAGAAAAATCTGATAATCACTCAGGGGTTTAGGTGGAAAAAAACCAAAAACATAATTAGTCCTCATTTTGATCCTAATTTCACCACAGGTTGCAGCATTTGCCCCAGAGCTCAGGAAGTTCTCTCTCCCTTAGTCCGAACAAACAAACAGACCTTTTCATTTTTCCTGGTTGTGTAGCAGTGCTAAAAGTGTCCTAATCATCCCTCAGTGTCTTTGCAGCCTCATTTGCATGTGGTTAATTAGTGTGTGAAGAAGCTGTCTGTGGTTTGCTGGCAGGAACCCGGACTCCAGCGTCTTGAACAACCTCCGGGATGTTTTGGAGATTGAATTCCCGTCACCGGCCACCCACGAAAAATCTGTATGTCACACAGATGCACTCTTTCCATTTCAAACATGTCCATTCTCATCAGGATTAGCTCCAGAAGCTGTGCATGTTCAACTTTTAAGCGGGTGGATGTACACGTCTGCTTTTTTCTTCCTATCCATTTCCATATTTTTCTGTGTGTTTTGGTTTGTTTTGTTTTGGGGTTTTTTTTAGAGGTGGGCACAACTGCTCCTTTAATTGGGTTGTTTACAGATAAGATCATTAGAATAACAAAGATGGCAGAATTCTGTTCACTATCAAACCGCTTTAATCACACTAAACCATTTATCTCCTTTTTCTAAAGAAAAAAAATCATTTTTTCCCCTCCCATCTCTGCAGATGGGTTGAAAGGGCGTTGTGTTTATCTGCTGTCGCCACGGTGATTAATGCTTCAGCTTCATTAACATTCAGAGGAGTGCAAAAAAGTTGAGTTGACCAGATGTTGATTTTTTTTTTTTTAAACCTGCCATCCTCTCTCTTAATGGATGGCTCCAGGGGAACAGAAAAAAAAAAACAACAACCCAGAAGCTTCTAATTCCAACAAAATGCAAAGAGAGAGTTTCCCCTCGAAGGTTTGATGGTGAAGCAGCAGCACATAGTGCAGAGTCAGTGTTGCAGGTGATACTTGGAGGCTGATGTAGCATGTTTGTGCTCACAGACTCCAGGGGTAACCAGAACCTGTTAGAAAGCATCACTGGTCACTTCTGCTTTTCTGTGTGCAGAGTTTTAATATGGAGTGCGGCATCTGTTACTCCTATCGACTTGAAAATGCCATCCCAGATCAAGTGTGTAATGACCCCCGATGTGGGCAGCCATTCCACCAGGCCTGTCTTTATGAGGTATGAACACACTTTATCACCATGGAGGTTCACCTGCAGCAACAAGTTGCACCCTAAAGTTTAAATGGACATAGTCATACTATCTGACATTTTTTCCCACTCCAGTTGCATACAAACTATTTTATTTTTAATTACTGCCTCCTGCTGTTGTATTATTCGTATTATTCTGTATATTTACAATAACAGTAAGTGACCAGAGGTATGATACTGTGAATGTGCACTGGGGGGAAACAAGGAAGTGAAGTAGCTTAACAAGTTAGCACCTCTCAGCTGTGAAATAAAGAAACATCCCAAATCTAGTTTGAAAAATATTATTTTTTTGAGAGAGATAAAACTGGAATAGTGCTCGGATTACAGTATGATCGCGTTGTCTGCAGGTAGTGATGTCGCTGCGGAGTTGATACTGATACTAACGACAGCAGTGCCATTCCTAGTCTCTACAGTTTCTTGATTTCGGTCTATATAATTTGTATTTTCATATAAAAACAAAATAAAAACTTCAGAAAACTGCTGTTGAAAATGCCCTCAGCAGATATCTGAACAACCCTATGACAATGATTTAGACATGTTTATAGAAATCCTCCAATTTAGTATTTAAAAAATATTTACTTAAAAAAACAAACAAAAAAACATAGAAAACCAAGAACGTCAATCAATGCAAATGCTATAATTAGACTTTAACATATATATGAATATATTGGAAATATTTTGTAATGGTTATTGAATAAAATTATATTGCATATTTTAAATTATTGTCCATCCTTATGATAGACCAACACAAAGTAGTTGTAAATTACTTTTCCTTGGTCTTTTTGGGAAATTTTCAGATGGCTGCAAGTCATCAGTGGTTTGTCCTCAGACGGTTCCCTGTCACAAGCCTTTGCAACACTTGGTGGCATGATAAAGTAGCCTGACGTAGTCCTACTCAATTCTAGTCAGAATATGAGTCTGATACTGCTCCATAGAGCTGTGATTATGGGGCGTGTTTTGAACGAACCAGGAAAAAAAATGCCTCTGCACTCAATTGGATAGACCTACAACCAATAAGAGCAACGGAGTGCGTGACGTATGTTAAGCGAGGCATAGTTGTTGTCCACAAAAATCAAAGCGTGCAATTGCACGCCTATAATAAGAAGATGAGCCTTGATCGCGTTTCTCTGTTGCTCTTTTAAAATTAATTTGCTGTCGATATCTTCTAGAACAGACCTAATAGCAGAATCTACTCACCCAAACTCTCCGGCGGCAGCCATTATTGTTGTCACCCAAGCGCACATTGGTCACGTGGTTGATTATGTGACTGTTGGTCATCTGTCCATCATCGTATAAAGCCCGCCCTGACAATTTGATTGGATCGCCTGACAGTGGGCGATAATACTCGCGCTACTATGGAGCAGAGCCAGACCGAACTTCCCCGACCTCAAACTTTGTGGCGGGACTGAGTTCGGAATGGCACCCAGGCTAATGATAAAGAGGATGTAATTTAAAATCATCTGTTCTGGCTTAATGCTAAACCTTTAACATGCAGACACAAATTCCTGAGGATCATGGTTGAGGTTTACTGATACATGGGGCTTAGCAAACATGTGGAAAAAGGTCTAAAATGGAACCTTCAAGCAAAAAACTGTAACGGAAAACTAATACTGGACATCCCAGTCCTGCTCTAGAGCATGGTAGTGGCAGGAATATGATGTCGGGAGAGAAAAGATGAAGGTTTCCAGACAAGAGTAAAACAGACTAATAACATAAGTTAAAATAATTTGGGAAAAGGGGGTTATATAGACTTTGGAGGCTAACGACAAATACAGGAAACACTTTTTAGATATTATGGCTGCAAAAAGATTGAAAACTACGAATCCTTTAACTTGCCCTACTTTGTGTAAAATACACTGAAGCTCAGTGGGTGTGCAAACTGTGGCAAAGGGCTATGGTCTTGTCCCCTAAAAGTAACAAACCTGATGATTTAACTCATTTTATACTTTTTTAGCTTTTTATGAATCTATTTCCTCATCTCATAGGGGATAACTAGAATACCTTATCAATATTACAACACAAACAATACGGATGATTACTGTAAAACAGAAGTTTACTTTAAATTAAATAGCTTAAAATGTAAGATTTATTTGTTTTGTTCAAGCAGTATGTTAATACAAAATACATTTTGACTTTTGTAAAAATAAAATATCAAATTCATATGACTGAGTTTCCTTTGCATTTACTATAATTCTGGTTCTCATCAGTTGAGGGGCTGTTGAAAGGTGGCAGAAGCTCTTATTCAATGAAAAGCCCTTTAAAAAGCATATTGCGTAGGATGAGATTACGTCGCCCGATCCAAGGTGATGAGATGAGCAAGTCGTTTCTTTTTCTCTCTCCCCTAGTGGCTACGAGCTCTTCCCTCCAGCAGGCAGAGTTTCAACCTTGTTTTCGGAGAGTGTCCTTATTGCAGCAAGGTAGGTGTATGTTTCTATCTGCAACTGACAGCTGATGCAAAAGCCTTACCTGGGCTCTGTATACATACTCAACAGCTGCTCGTATAAATCCATTCATTATATAGCCTTGTCTTGTCAAAGTGCCTTCATATGCAGATCTGAAAGTGTTCTCCCACAGCTCCTAAACAATTATAAATGAATCATTTTTCTTTTACTTTGTACATGGCATTTTTTTTAAGTAAAAAGCCATAATTGTCAAAGATTATGTATTAATTACAACCTAATGCTTCTTTTTATATTTCAGCCCATTACAGTGAAAATGGCAGTACAGAAGTCCTGAGGAGCAGCATGAGGAGTTACAGGCAAAGAAAGTCAATTTCGACTGACTTAAGCAAACACAAATACAGCCCCCAACAGAAGGATCAATCCCACACAGACAAGCCTGGACATCCAGGAGGTTCTCTGTATGGAAGCAGCTCCTTGTCTCAGATCTGAATCTTCCGTCTCACCAAACCAGTGTCCCTGTTCTGAACAGATCTGGCTGTGGCCCATTCCGTTCTCATGTGGCCTTTCTTCCAAACGTTTTCTGTAAAATCCGGGTATTTCTCTGTCCCAGCCGTAATTTCCCATTTGGAGGTTGAGCTGATGCTCCGGTCTTTCATTGGTCCTGGTCAGCTCCTCTGTGTTCTTGTGAGGTCTTTTGGATTTAGCTCTCTGTTAAAAAATGTGTTTTATTTTTGAATTTTTCTTTAAGCAGACAAACAAAAACAGGTTTTGGTGCCAATTTGTCTTGTTGAGCTCATGAGCCATTAAAAAAAATGATGTAACAGTCATGTAGAAGTAATTCAGCAAAATCACAAAAAGCGGTCTGGCCACAAGCCTTCTGACATCACACCTGTTTGGGCGTAGCTCCAGGACCAATAGGAGGACCTCTTAGATAGCGTGCAGGGATACGTTTGGGTCGGACATCTGCCTCTTCCTCCTCCTCTTCTTCCTCCTCCTGCTCCTCCTCTTCACTGTCTTCTTCTTCATACGTACATGGAGGCCTCGGCCTGAGCGACCTTCCTCCAGCAGGTGACATCGCTTTCTTCTAGAAGAAAACGGCGGATTGTTACTGTTTCACATGTAAAACTGGCTCAAGCTTGATTTCAGTTAGACTCATCCTCTGTTAAAACATCTGGTAACCAGTTTGCTGCTCTACAATATTTCACAGGATCACTGCAGAAAAGTCTTGAGAACAGAAAGACAGAAAAGTTAATTGTGAATATTGTTTGATAAAATAACAAAACTAATCCTGGGGAGGTCTTATTATTGCTTTTGTTACCCTGTAACTCTGGATAGAAGCAAAAAATGTGGCCAAATGATACGGACTTTGTTGTGGTGTAAATAAACATTAAACTTAACAGTTTAGTTGTTTCCTTTTTTGTTGTTGTTTTAGCTCCTTTTAAGTGCCAAAACACTTTTTGCCCAGATGTGCAGCTTAGGGACATTTCACCAGGGTAGCTGAGTACCGTAATTCAAATTTGTGCAACCAAAAAGCCAAAGAACAGCGTGCCACTAAAGTCCGTTTCTCTCTTTACCTCCACTCTACAGAAACTACTGGGAGTTAAGGGAGAAGAACACAAACCTGGCATGAACCAGATTGATATGTTTAGTTCTATTCAGTTCCTACACGGTATCATTCAGGATAGCCTTCTGTAGAACGCGATCGCAAAAGGGAGGGATATTTAATTCTTCAAGCTGATTGGGTACCTATGTCCCATGTCAAGCTTTTAGCCAATCACAGCAGCAGTAGCAGCTGTGACATGTCAGATTCTTGATTTGTTTCAAAGAGTTAACTGAGAAATAAAACGCTTACCATGTCTGGGCGAGAGGAACTGTCCACAAAAATCATGTTTTTTATTTTTCCATTTTCATAAAGAAATAGAGGGTATTCCAGCCTTCCACCTCTGGTTGACATTATACCCATCACTGCATTTCATTGGTCCAAAATATTTCCTTATTGAGGTCAATGCAACTGTTCACATCTGGCAGGATGTATTTTTGGGAGTTTGTGAATTTACAAATCTCGTGACAATTCATCTAGCTTACAAGGTAAGGAGAATTAGGGATAAAATGTGGAATAACATTTAGCTCTGAAAATGTCTCTTTTTGTAGTATGTGAGCTCACAGTAAGACTTAATGGTAAAAATGTTAACAGTGATTAGAGGAAGGAAAGGATCCATTTCTAGTAATATGTTAGTGACCTTACCTCTGGCTTAGTGGGGGGTGGGCCTCTTCTGAAGCGAGCTGGCACTGGCCTGGGCTTCATGCTTACAGGTTCTTCATCATCCAGCTGTGGAGTCACCTGCTTGGGTCTACTGGGTCCTCTAGCTGCTCCTTCTTTCCGTGGCTTTAGGAAGAGTTGGAAAATGAATAAGAATGGAGTTTGTAACTTTCTTTAACTTGGCCTTAAACACTACTTCACTTCCAAACTGTGACCACCCATAAAAGAATCATATTTATCCGACAGTTTGGCAGAGGATTCTGGAAGCGTTCAGTGGCCTTTTTTCTCCGCTGACATTTCCTCTCCTCACTAAAGCGTCTGTAAATGGCCACTTGTGTTTAACAAGGGATCAAACTGGCCAGCACTTTAGCATGGAAATGAAATGACACAAGGAGAGGAGAGGAAATTAGGAGCATAATTGGAGATACCCTGTGCTGGGTAAAGTGTGTGTCATCAGCTCCTTCAAACTGGGCTGTTGAGAGGGCGGTCACTCGGCCACGTAGGGTCAAGAAGTGATTCTGAGGAATGAAGGGGGGTTGTGGTCTTCTTTCTGCATCGGGTCTGACCATCTTTCGCTTCTTCTAAGGGTAGAGTCACCAGAAGGTTAAACCTCCCTTTCGCTGCCATCACGTTTATGCACTCTGAGGTTAAGAGACTCTGCAGAGAAAACCCTTAACGGCCAGCAGTCAGGTTGTTAAACGAATACAAAAATTTAATTATGGGGAAACATTAAGCACACCCTTATTTATGTCTAAGGCTTGTGTATAAGAGTGTGCTAAACAGAAGACCGAGCCCTCACCGGGTCTACAAACATTAACCTCTACTGAACAGCAATGCTCCCCAACTGCAGCACATAATTATATAAAAAAAAAGAAGTGAAATCAGGACTAATGTGTTAAAAACAAAGACCCCTTCATTAAGACTTGTCTTTATAGGGTCCTGCTGAGGTCTTCCAGGCTTGCTCTGAGCATGCACTGAACTTGATGTAATGGTTTAAACTATGGTCGTAGTAATTCAGGGGATTCGGCCAGAGCCCATATTTACAAAGATTCTTAGAGTCTTTTATCAAATGATTGACTTTATTGATCTCACAGTGGAGAAATCTACTCAAATTTACTCAACCATAAGCTAAAAATCTAAATGTAATAATTTCCTCACTGGCCTTTTTTTTGCTTTTTAGAGCAGCCTGGAAGGTGAGAAGCACTGAAGCCAGAGAGGAGTTGATGGCACAGAAGCAAATTTCTAGATGTCTTCTGACATCACCATGTATTATACAACATATACTTATTCACTTCCATAATAACTTACCTTATATGTATACATAGTATTATTGTACCTTATTATACCTAGACTGTGTGTACTTTTATTTTTCTTACTTTTTCAAGTTCCTGCAAAAATGTTTACTATTTATAATTTCAATGATTGAAAATTAAGCCCAAACACTACATTGCTTGTAAATTCTCGATTAATGGTTATTCAATAAAATTATCTTCTATTACTATATTTCTATTTTTTTTCTTTTTCAGGGTTCCCGCGGGTCCTTAAAAAGTCATAAAAGGCATTGAATTCTTTAAAATAAAACTAAGGCCTTAATTGGTATTGTAAATGTCTTAAATCAATCTTTCTTAGGTCTTAATTTTTAAAACATCATAAATATGATTATTTTTATTATGGTTTATTATTGTAATCTAAATAAAACATTAAAATTGACAATTTTTTTTTTTTTTAAATAATGGCTCACCATTATTGGTTCCGTCCCGACCAATAAAAGCATTGTTGCGGCCGGGACATTTGGGAGATGCGCCGTTTACTTTTTGTCTGGAAAATATGAGCAATGAAATGTAACGAAAATTGGCTCCAGCCAAGAGTTTTCTCCATGGCTAAAACCAGTACCAGGGAGCATATATGAGGCACAGTGTATTTTGTGCAAGAATTCATTCAAGCTCGGAAAGATGGGAATTAAGGCAGTGGAGTCGCACATGCGAAGCACGAAACACAAAGCGTCAAAATGGAGTTACCGAGAAACAGCCGGTATTTCTCAGTTTTGTTCCACCCTTGTCTCTGCAACGCCTCCACTTATCACCAAATCAAACATACTAAGAAAACGATACAAAGAAAAATAACTGCAAAAAGACTTAGCACTGGTTATGTTGTGGCTTTAAAACTTATAAATTTGTTTTGTTCCCTGCTAAAACAAAGTTTGTGAACTCAGTCAAATAATTGTTAAAATAGATCTGTCATTTGTGTGTTTTTAGCTTTCTTCCTGTATGGGAAGCTTTTCAAAATTTGAAACATTAGTGCAGTGGTTTATGTTAAAATAAACCTTTGGGTTAAGTTGTCGCAAGCAGGTTTTTCTTATGTTTCTTGTGAATTTGGTCTTAAATTTTTATTTCAAGTGGCATTAAAAAGTCTTGAATTTAACTTGCCTTATGCTGTAGGAACCCTGTTTTTAAAGAAGCCTTCTTATGGAGTGTTCCGACCCAACAAGTTGTGGGCATAAAAAGGCTTCCAACACTTCGATGTGGGCGCTGTACACTTTCGAGTCAGACACATCAAAATCTTCTAGACCAGGGTATGACTGAAGTAAAACCGTAAGACAAATCGTAGAATTCAGATAAAAATCATCTTTATTAGTAGGAGTTGCTTTTACTCTTTCTAAGACACCAGGAGCTCACTTCAAATAAAGCGTCAACCTTAGAACGCTGCCTGTTCTGCAGCTGCTGCTCGTTAGGCCTTTTGGATGACTCCATGTTTGCTTATCAAATATGCAATGCAAGTATACTCTGCTCATCCTCCCCCCTTGTGACCATTCTGCTCCTTACTGTGAAATAGCGAAGCAGTCAGAATCGATGTTAATTCGGAGAACAAAATCAAAAGCCTTGCAACTACACGTTAGTTTCCATTGTTCCTTATTAAAAGCCTGGTAATAGATTTGGTTGATCTGTAATGTCACAACTCAGTTTAGGACTGAGAAAGGAAACATTTTTTGTAGATTTGAGACTGCAGCAGCAGGGATGTTTCACTGCACCAGGATTTAGTTTTCACATGCATCCTGTCATAACCCAAGAGATGCTCTGGCGGATTTGGGTTGAGATGGGATATTGTTGGATTATTGTGAAAATTCCTGCTGTAAATTCTTGCAGAACCTTTGTATTTATTCTTTTAAAATAGGCCAAAACTAAACTGAGAACCCTGATTACTTAAGCCTGGAAATGTATGGAAATCTGTAATTAGAAATATGCGGGAATCCTTAAATCATGCAGTATCGGTCACATGTAAAATATCAAGGTGACCAAACCACTATTAAAGAGTAACTGAACACAAGGTTGTATTATATTCTGTTCTCACCTTTTCTCTGTTGAAAGGTTCCTTGGGGGCAGAACCCTGGTGACCTCCAGGCACTGAAAAGTCCAGTTTCCCTGTGACCTCACAGACCAGCAGCTTTTTAAGAAGCTGGTAGTCAGGCTTATCTTCATAGCCCAGAGTTCTGACATAAATCAGAAACTTAGCCAGCTCATCTGGTGATGGGAGGAAACATAAAAATGACAGTTTAAGGGAAAACATGTAAACAATTCTGGAACATTAGCTGAAATGGGATTTTCTTTTTTTTTCTCTAAAATTATTTTAGCAGTGAGGTGGCAGCAACAAATGTAGGATGAACCTGAAGGTCTCTGACTTCAGATAAAACACTGACTTGCGTTGCATTGTGTTATACACCGTCAGCCTAAATGTATCACTGGCCGTACGGTGTGTATGAAACATGCTGCAGTGGAACCTGTATCACTCCCCCCCCCCACACACACACACCCAGTTGATGCATCCTCTGGTTCTTATCTACAGCGGGCAGCCTGGCTTTGTTAGTGGATGAGAGTGAAGCTTTGACCATTCATCACACACCGAGTCATCACTATGGTGTGACCTCTCCATATAGGAGATAAAATACAGCTAACTTTGAAAGGCATGTCAATGAGACGGCCATCTATTTATTTGATATAAAGTTATAACAGATTCCAAGGTGACGTTCAGAGCAGAATTTTCATCCTTTAGCTGCATTCTGATGACCAGATCTCAAAGACCTTGTTTTAAAAATAAAATTTCTTCTCTACTTGTATATGCTAAAGTTTTTGTGTTTTTTTTCTCCATACAGCGTTTCAAGATTCAGGGCCAAAAATATCCAATCAAAGAAAACAAACAGCTAAGTTTACAAATTCTCATTGAATATGAAAACTGGATATACTAAAATAAAAATAAATTTTTTCCAGCTTGAAAAGTTTTAGGTGGAATTTGAAGTCAGGCTGGTGTGGAGGTGGTGTTAATCAGGGGTGGAACGGTTCACAAAATCCACGGTTCGGTTCACGGTTTCGTAGTCATGTTTTTCAGTTCGGTATATGTTGATTGTTAGCCTGACATGTTGGTCATGTTGCTGTTAGCATAAACAAAAGGTGTTGCACAATGCTTGCACACTGTTGCACTTTTATCCACAACTTTCTTTCCGCCGTCATCGTAGATCACTCTAAATGCAAAGTGGTCCCATACAGCAGACCTATAAAGTGCTGCTGGCACGTCTTCCAACTCCTGTTCTTTCCCACTCGCCATTCCCGCACAATTCTCCACAACAACTGATTTTTTTCTGCTACACCCGGCTACGCGGCTTCGCTTCTTCTTCTTGTTTACTACTGGTGGTTGGCTTTGGTCGCAGTACCGCCACCTTCTGCTCTGGAGTGTACACGCTTTGCCTATGAGAAAAAAGAGCAGCACATGAACCGAACGAAACACACGCGAATCGAACCGAGACAGTCAAACCGAACGGTTAGGGCGGTTTTCATAAACCGTTCCATCCCTAATATATATGTGTGTATATATATATATATATATATACACACACACACATACATGAATATATACATGAATAAAAACAAGCTTTCTGTTAACAAGCTGCTATGAAGACATTTGATTAAGTAGTGAATGCTTCATGTTTTAATTTAAGAGACTACTGCCGTTATGAAGGGGTTTACAGTGCATCCATAGGAATCCTCAGAGCTAAATTACTTCCATATTTACCTCCGCCGAGGAGGTTGTTTTTTAGGAGAGTTTGTATGGTTGTCTGTCTGTCTTTGTACTTCAATGAAATTTTTATCAGAGGTGCGCCTGATGCAAAAGATTAGTTCATTTAAATTTGATAATGGTCCGATCATGTGTGAGTTTTAGCTGTAAGTCACAATTTGGGGGAAACTGTGCTGCTTGGTGGAGGTCTGCACTCTCCAACTGCTTTTCTAGTTTGTCATGTTACTGCCTCATTTTAAAGTGAATTACCGTTTGACATCTTAAAAACCAGCATCAAATTTATTTTTCATAAATGTGAAAAATTAATTTAGCAAATTTATCAGGAATGCAAAAAAGAAGGGCCATCTCAAATGCATCAGCAGTCTTTATTCTAAATGTAGCTTTCTTTATTATGAGTCAGGTGTTCTCACAACCTGATTGGTAAAGTGATTGAGCCTTAAAGTGATAGAGCACTTCATGTCCCATGGATATCACCCCATTTCTTCAATTATCCCTGATTATGACCTTTTCTTTAGATCTTCGTTAAAAACATGCAGCTCCAGATTAGAGACTTTTTGCCTTCGAACCTCAGGCTTCTCATCTTACTTCCAAATTCTCAGTTTGACCAGATAAATCTAAATGATGTCCTGTAACCTGAAGAATCCCTGCAGCCTTGGCTTACCTGTGCTGGCCCCACTAGCTGACAGCTGCTGGACTGAGAGTGGCAGATTATCCATCAGTCTAAGAGAGGAAATAAAACCAAGAGAAGATGAAGACACAAAGACAAGAGAGAGTGTGTTCAGGACAGGAATAAGGCAGCAGGAACGGGAGCTAAATCCCAGCCAAAGCAAGCTGTCATACAGAATGATAACACTGATCTAAGGTCAACTACACTCTCTGGATTATTAGTGACCATGAATATTTATACAGCTCTACTGCAGAGTGCCAGAAATAAGCCTCTATTCATTGCAGTACAGTTATATTACAAACCAAAGAGTCAGAAGCTGAGCTGATTAAAAAGGAAACTAAAATTTTCTCAGTTTAACCAGAGAATATTCAGTCTAAATTATATCCTTTTTTTTTTCAAACTGCTCACTTATAGATAATTTAACAATCTGTAATATTTAATAATCAATCAAAAAATAGATGTAGGAATCAAATATAATGGCTGCTTCACAGCAGACTCGTATAAAATCCATTGGTTTCAGTGTGTTGCCATTTTTCTCTTAGGTTCTTTTCTTTAAAATATTAAATGTATGCTACAAAAAGCATCTGCATTAAACAGAATGCAGCAAAAACATACTTGATTTTGGCCTCTTGGACTTGAGTGGGGTTTTTGAGGACGTTGTCCCAGGGTAGTGACCCACATAACCAGTGAAGAAGACAAAAGCCCAAGATTTGGAGGTCACCACGTCTTGACGGTGCTATAAAAAGAAAAAGAGAAGGTCTTTAGCTTAAAGAATGAAAAATAATACGGCTCCAGTAATAAATTCAGCTGAAAATGTCATTTCAGCCTCATTTAGCAACTCTTAGATCAGTTTTTCATAGAGTAAACTGACAAAACACAAATATATTATAAATATACATTGAATATTCAATGCTTGTCTAATTCTAAAGTTCAAATTCTTTAGGTTTTTGTTTAGAAATTACATTTTTTTAGGACTTTAATTAATAAATTAAAAAAAACAACAACAACAAAAAAAAAAAATCCATGTATACCTCCATAAAGTATTTGGACAAAAAAAAAATCTTTAAGCATAGATAACGAATGTTAATTTAAGTTTGTACATTTGAGGGGTATACACAAAAAACACATCTCAAAAGGGGAAAAAAAGTTTCATATAGTCTTCTGACAGCTGACTTAAATCTTGTATTTTAGCGTTTAAATCTTTAGGTTTTCCATTATTCAGGATTGTTGATTTAGTTGATGAAATAATAAAAATAAAGATAAAAACAAATATTCAGGGGTGACTAATATTTGATGATAAATAAAAAAATATATATTTTTTTTATCTTGAGAACATTTTTCTTATGTCCAGAATTTCCCTCTTTTCCATCTATTTCTGAAAAAGTCAAGATTAAATGCTCCATCGCCTTTTATTCACACCATTTACAGTAGCAGATGGAAAAAAACCTTCACTGGGATGATAGCAATGAAACTTAACAGCAACATTCACTTTAGAGCTAACCTCTTCCAACAAAACAGAATGATATGGAAAATATTAGCAGTAATTTTAAGTCATAATCAACAAAAACAAAACATTTATGGTTACAGCAGTTTCACCCATGGCAACCAATTAAGATTATTTAATCCCCTCATAAGGGTTGGTAATACAAATTATACAGAGAACCTCCAAACTTTCTTGTTGCCCATGACAATTCAAACCTTAATTTTAAAATGTACACTAGAATGTAAAAATATTAAAAGGAAATAGATAATTTCTTAGACAGTTATATGTCATATTTAAATGCTAATTGGATCAATAAAAATAGAGGAATATGGGCCTTTTTCATCTGGGTCTTTATCAAAAAAATCTACAGTAAAATAATTACATACTTATCCTGGATCTAATATCAGGATTCTTTTGCTAGAAATCTAATTTTTTTTTTTGTCTCATCTCCCAAGAGCTGGAAGAAATAAGAGCCCGAAAGTTAGACAAATGAATTTTTTTACACTATGCTGACTGTGTTTAATTGCACATATTTTATCAAACTGCAAGGGCAGAGATGGCCGAGTGTTGAGCTGATGTTGAGAGAGCAAGGAGCAGGCTAAGCTCACCACTGGGGCTGAGCACAGGCTCAGAGACGGAGATTAATGCAGGTAGCAGAGAGGAATTTGTCAGAGTTGAGCCCAAAAAAATGGCACAACAAAATCCGGCATATTAATTATGTTAATTTTACAGAGAGTAAAGAAAAATGCTGCAACACAAAAACACGTAAAGCAATGTTAAAAGTTTTTTTCTTAACTTCAGCAGGGCAACTTCAGAGCTAATTCCCTTCACACTTTAAAATATGATTCAACTCTGTGAAAGCAAGTTGGTCTGTCTGACACGTTTTGTGGTTCAGATGCAGTTTGGCACACTTGGAAAGATTTTGAACACTTTTGTTTTCATTTTACTTTAATTTAATACCTAGGTCTGTTTTATGAATGACCACATTTATGACCAACAACTTAATTTCTGTTGGAATATGTGGAAATTGTTATTCATTATAAACCGTTTGTTCAAAGTCACACTGAGAGGTCCAATTGTCAAATGTAATTTGTTATATCTTGGAATCATTTTGGCGATTTTTTTCCCCTGTTGCTGGAATATCTCACTCTAATAGAAAATATGCACATTTTTGTTGCCAACTTTATAAAATAATGTAAGGGTGATGAAAGTTGTTTATCTAGTGTGAATTATATTTTTATGCAACTGCACGATTTAAGAGAAGGAATGGCATTTCTCTCTGAACTACTGTTCTCATGTTGTGTGTTTTGCCTCCATTGAAAACAGCCAATTCCAAACAGCTTTGTGTTTGTACTCTAAACAGGCTAATCAAACAGTACAATGCAAAAAATATTTTAATATTCTAAAGTAATGCCAGGATTAAGACAACAGTCCAGTTCAGGTTCTCATGCAGTATAAGCTCTTATGGAAAATCCTGAGCATGTTTTTTCATCTTATGGTGATTATATGTACGACTGCATGGATCTACATTTATGTGTGAGGTCTGTCAATACTTGGTGACCAAGTCCAGTGAGGTTGAGCCTGGGGAGTTTTAGTAGCTCAATACAGCAAAGGCTGCTGCATGTCTCGGGAGAAATTACCTATCGACTCGCTCTAGCAGAAGGGAGAAATCACCTGCCTCAGCATCGATCCTACCCGGTCAGCCAGAAGTCTGGTCCAAAGAGGAAGTGAGGCCACTCTCACACAGGATGAGATTATGAAGGAGATAAACTGATTTCAAGTCAACATGTTTGTGAAATTAAAGTACTGAGATTTGGCTTAACCAAGTTGTCTTTCTCAACATGAATAATGACTGTCAACATCTGGTGATGTGCTTCGAGGGCAGTAAGAAAATGAGTTCAGGGACATAAAGTTGCCTAAATAACAATTCTTTATGTTAGCCCCAAACCATGAATACAAGCTGGAAAGCTAAGGAGATGCTGGTTAAAGATGTGTGATATTGAAATTCACATCTACATGCTATATTGTAAGTGTGGGTAAAAACTATACATCTTTAAGCTCATGACATGGGTAAGCAGACCTTCTTCTACCCATTCAGCCATGAGAAACCATCTCTCGAGTGAATCCTGGTCTGCCCTAAGGCCTCTTGACAAATGGACATGGCCTATGATCCACCGCTAGAAAGGCTTTCTGAGAGGACTCCTGAACCAACTAACATGGTTCCTTTTAATGAAGAAAAGAAGTGAGTTCACTGAACTCTTTTCTTTTCTGAAAGCAGCAACACTAAAGCCTGCTTGATGCGCCTGCGAGATCTGCACGGCCAAATGACAGACATCTTGAGATTTAGCCCATAAATATCCCCACAATAAACAGATCAAGAAATTACTGTAATTCTTGAATGACACAAAGAGACTTCGAAACTGTTGGAAACAGCAGTGTTTTTTACTTTTACACAGGGTCCGACACTAATACTGTACTCACGGAATGCAACATTTTTCATTTGGCGAGTTAATGCCAGAGCAACATTTGCCACAAGGCAAATAAATGTTTGGACCACAGCCGCACTTTGTTTACATCTTTTCTTCTTTTATTTTGATAGGTGTCCCTTTTGTCCATTTGTTCCTCACACACCAATATACAGATGCATTTACATAGAGCACACCCCAACACAGTCATTTAACAACTTTGGAGCAACCAAGCCTTCTAAAAGACAACATGATGTTGAGGCAGAAGGGAGAGTGTATCTACAGCGCCCAGGGCGAAGAGAAAGTTGATAAATGCCGATTTCGGGAAACTGTTTTTCAAGAGACTGACTTATTTCTGACAATGATCCTAAGCGAATGAGCTTCTCAGTGTTCAGCAAATATGCTAAAGAGGACAGATACGATTAATTTGTCGCCGGCTGTCAATCTATGAAACTGGGAGTCGAAACGACCCATGCCACAGCAAATGTTAAAGCGCTGATGGCTGTATCAACACAAACACACAAAGATGAAAATCTTGTTTTACACTGTGCATGCCATTGGAAGAAATATAATAAAGACATTAAAACAAATGAAAATTGTTTTCTGAATGGTTTTATTTATGGCCACTTTATCAAATAAAACAATTTATACTGCAATTTTAATGAATAATACTACAATACTACATTAATGCCTTAGTGAAATAATATGTTCCTTAAAAATATATGAGATCAATTTTTTTTTTCTTGGACAGTAAAAATATTCTTGGCGGGCAAACAATTTTATCTGCCGGTTGACTTGGTCAGTGAGTCAAAAAGTTAATTTCGGACCGTGCTTCTACATCTAGTTTAGATTTGTAAGCTTGTGGTCTTTGTCCGTCAAAACCGGTGTCAAACTGATTCCAGAAAGGGCCGCGTGGCTGCAGCTTTCCAACCAAGCAATAGCATACCAGATTCCTGTCATTTCATTAAGTAAATCCAATCTGAACATGATGACTTGAAAGACCTGCAGCCACAAGGCCCTTTCTGGAACCAGTTTGACATCCCTGCACCCAGAAAGAGTATTAGGTAGATGGGAATATGCTGGTGAAGATTCTCTGTTATCCAGGTCACAGTCTTTCCAAAAAAGTTAAAAACAATCCACTGGACCTAGTTTCCAAGTTTTAAAACATTTTTTAAATAAAAAAAAAAAGAATTTTAAATGAAAAAAGCTTCTTGGATGGGAAGCAAGATGTCTTCAATCTTGGACATTAAGTTCAGTGAATTTTTTTTTTTTTTTTTTTTTTTTTTTTTCAATAAAAAAAAAAAGAAAAAAAAAAGAATTTTAAATGAAAAAAGCTTCTTGGATGGGAAGCAAGACGTTTCAATCTTGGACACTAAGTTCAGTGGATTGTTTTTTTTTTACTTTTTTGGAATGTAGATGGGAACGTGTGCACACATTTGATTTCCACGCAGGACGTATGACTGTCAAACATAACTGAGCCTTAAAGAGGAAGTTCATTACTGAAACGTAGGCATTCTCAGTTCATTTGTGGCCTCCATGATAAAGTTGTCGATACACTCCTGGTGTAATTTTGGTAGGCCGTCCACGCCTAGAAAGGTTCGCTCTTCCTTGTGATCTCCATTGTGGATAATAGCTTTAGCCGTGGTTCACTGGAAGGTTAAAGTCTTGGAAATGGCTTTGTAAACCTTTCCAGACTATTAGATGTTCATGATTTTGTTTCTTAGGTGTTCATGAACTTCTCTTAATCGGGCCAAGATGATTGGGCTTTTGAAAAACCTTTAGCCTACTTTGTGTTGTCAGACAGCTTCTATTAAGTGATTTCTTCACTCTACAGGTCTGGCAGTAATTAGACTTTAGGTGGGAAGTGAAATGAACCCAGCTTTGAAAAGGATGTGGTGAGTCACAGTTTACTCATGATTAAACAAGGGGGTGCTTACTTTTTCCACAAATGGCCACTGTAGTGTGGATTGGATTAAATGCTTCAGATTGGTTTGCAGGGGGGGTGCAAAAATAAAAGTGCTCTGTCTAAACCTGCTGTAAATGAAAAATAAAGTGTCAAAAACATAAGCTCCAAATGTGAAACAGTCGTTCTCTTCTACTTGATCTAAATAACTCTGATAATAAGGGTCAAATCTCTTTGTCCTTGTGAATTTAAATTATGTATTATGTCTGCATTACAGCAAGCCTCTCTATAGTTGTAAAACGATTACAGAGCGACTTATTGCTTCTGAGAGCCTGTTGGAGGAGAATAAGGATGAAAAATGCACGTGATACTGACAATGGAAAACGGTGTTCAATTCCCAGAGCAACATAATGGATTAACAATTAAAAAGATCAACAACTACATTAAACGTTACTGCCCTCTGCGTTCACTCTGGGCATGATAACGCTGCTTATTATGCTGCTTTATGTGTCGGCTCCTCTATATTCATGTATGTGCTTTGCCCTCATATAAAGAATGGCAAAGGACAACAGAAAGAAACGTTTATGCTTATTTGCATGTAAAGATTTCAGATGAAACTTGGACCAAAGAATCCATAAAAAAAAAAAAAAAACATGACACAGGCACAAATATATCCATGCAGTGGTTGTGTTCCCCACCAGCTTTAAACGCTGGTCGTGCTGCTAATTATCTCCCATTGTTATTCAGATTCCCTTAAGCACAATGCTGTGTGGCACTCTTAACCCTTCTGCCTTGCAGACTTGTTGTTTGGAGACGGTCATCAGTCCGCTGTCCGCCCACCAAATGGCACTAATTACACCGTTTAGCTCCGGGTACATAGGTCTGCAACTAGCTGGATGTGTTCACCAAGGCTCATCATCAGCAACCTGACAACATCTTTGTGAGAATGAATGCCACCGGGTCGGCGAGGGCAGATTCAGGTCTGGTTCTCAAATATGCTCTGTCTGTATCTTAGCAGATTTTAAAGAGAAAGATATCAAAGCTAGTTATAATGTTTTTAATAGTTAGCTGTAGTTTCAAGGTCTATATTTGCATCTGTTATGCAGTATTTGTATGGCGCATTAAAAACCTTAAAACATTTTCTTATAATACTACTTAATTAATTTAAAGACTAAATATAATTTTGGCTTTGTAAAACTTATTTTTATTGGTAGGTTAGGATATCTTTTAAGAAATTAAAAGTAAATAGGTAAAGATGGATGTAGTATTAGTCACCAAAATTACTTTTTCCTTTGAAAACATCAATTACACCAAAAATACTTAAATA